TAGTGCTGTCAATTTGGTAGTTGTGACGGGGATTGTTATGCCCCACATGCAAGGTCTTGCATTTATCGACATTAAAAAGTCATCTGACCATTTGTGGAGTTCATGTAGATCTCTGTAAGGTTTCAATATGACTTTCACTTCCCATTTTACCATAGATCTTAGTGTCATCTGCAAATTTGACGTGGTTTGTAATAATCTCATCTATGTCATTGATGTATAAGACAAAAAGGGTTGGCTCCAAAATGAAAACTAGCAGCACCCCACTCAGCATATTGGTGGGGGGTTGGATGAGATATCCGGGTTTCTTTTTTCGTACAGAGCTCAATTGTTTGTTTGCTATGGCTCCGTAGTTCGTTTCTAGAGCAAGTGGAAGGTTTTAGGTAGGGCTAAGTAAGTGTTTGTTTGGTAGCGTTAGGAAGGGAGTTTGGTTGGGCTCTTGGGATGTTTGTTTGGCTTGGGAAGGGTTAGATGAGATGTATCCTTGCTAGGCTTGCGGTTACACAACTGGTCGGGGTCCGGTTACACAACTGGTCGGGCTTCGGTTACACAACTGGTCGGGCTCCGGTTATATAACTGGTCGGGCTCCGGTTACATAACTGGTCGGGCTCCCGGGGTGTCACTAGGGCTTCGGGTTGTGCATGATCGGGCTTCGGTTCGTGCATGGTTGTGCTTCGGAGAAATTTTGTTCGATTTGTTCATCCTAGGCTTGCGGTTACACAACTGGTGGGACTTCAGTTACACAATTGATCGGGTTTCAGTTACACAACTGGTCAGGCTCCAGTTAAATAACTTTTCAGGCTCCAGGGGGTGTCACTTGGGCTTCAGGTTGTGCATAGTCGGGCTTCGGTTCGAGCATGGTTGTGCTCCAAGGGTTGTGTGTTAGTGCCCATGTTTTTTTGCTAGATCATCATGGTTGTTTCTTTACTATGACTGAGTGCATGTTCATTTTCTAGGGCTTTATTGTTGTATTTTTGCAAGAGTTCCAGGTTTCTTTATTTGTATAGTGCTCAATTGTTTGCTTTGGTTCCAAAGGTAGTTGTTAAGGCAAGGGATGATGGTTGTTAGGTACGGCTAAGGAAGAGTGTTTGGTACAGCTAGGGAGGGAGTTTGGTTGGGCTCTGGGGCTGTTTGGCTTGGTGAGGGTTGGATGAGATGTTTGCTTGCTAGGCTTGGTTACACAACTGGTCGGGGTCCGGTTACACAACTGGTCGGGCTCCGGTTAAATAACTGGTCGGGCTCCGGTTACATAACTGGTCGGGCTCCGGGGGTGTCACTAGGGCTTCGGGTTGTGCATGATCGGGCTTCGGTTCGTGCATGGTTGTGCTTCGGAGAAATTTTGTTCGACTTGTTCATCCTAGGCTTGCGGTTACACAACTGGTGGGACTTCAGTTACACAATTGATCGGGTTTCAGTTACACAACTGGTCAGGCTTCAGTTAAATAACTTTTCAGGCTCCAGGGGGTGTCACTTGGGCTTCAGGTTGTGCATAGTCGGGCTTCGGTTCGAGCATGGTTGTGCTCCAAGGGTTGTGTGTTAGTGCCCATGTTTTTTTTGCTAGATCATCATGGTTGTTTCTTTACTATGACTGAGTGCATGTTCATTTTCTAGGGCTTTGTTATATTTTTGCAAGAGTTCCAGGTTTCTTTATTTGTATAGTGCTCAATTGTTTGCTTTGGCTCCAAAGTTAGTTGTTAAGGCAAGGGATGATGGTTGTTAGGTACGGCTAAGAAAGAGTTTGTTTGGTACATCTAAGGAGGGAGTTTGGTTGGCCTCTGGGGCTGTTTGGCTTGGTGAGGGTTGTTGGATGAGATGTTTGCTTGCTAGGCTTGGTTACACAACTGGTCGGGGTCCGGTTACACAACTGGTCGGGCTCCGGTTACACAACTGGTCGGGCTCCGGTTAAATAACTGGTCGGGCTCCGGTTACAAAGCCTTACAAAGAGCTCTACATGAACTCTACAAATGATCAAAAGACTGGCGAATCATATCGATAAATGCGAGATCTTGTATGTGGGGCATAACAATGGGAATGAATCTGACTATAGAAATGTGGTGAGTGGGGTACCATAGGGTACCCCACTCTTGGGGCCTGTACCCCAAGATACCAAGAGTGGTACCCCAAGATACCACTCTTGGTATCTTGGGGCCAACCCTTATTGTCATATACATCAATGACAGTGATGTAATACCAATGATGTAGTATTACAAACCACATCATCAGATTTGCAGATGACACTAAGATTTATGGTAAAGTGGAAAGTGAAAGCATTACCTTTCACCAGATTAACGTGAATTGTAAATTTAACTACCCTAATGTTCCTAGGCCTAATACTGTACAGTACTTGCTGTCTGAAGCCTAATATAGTACATATGTGCTATACTGGGCCTAGGTATATATATATATATATATATATATATATATATATATATATATATATATATATATATATATATATATATATATGTGTATATATATATATGTCGTACCTAGTAGCCAGAACTCACTTTTTGCCCTACTATGCAAGGCCCGATTTGCCTAATAAGCCAATTTTTCCTGAATTAATATATTTTTTCTATTTTTTTTCTTATGAAATGATAAAGCTACCCATTTCATTATGTATGAGGTCATTTTTTTTTTATTGGAGTTAAAATTAACGTAGATATATGACCGAACCTAACCAACCCTACCTAACCTAACCTAACCGAACTTTATAGGTTAGGTTAGGTTAGGTAACCGAAAAAGTTAGGTTAGGTTAGGTTAGGTAGGTTAGGTAGTCGAAAAACAAATAATTCATGAAAACTTGGCTTATTAGGCAAATCGGGCCTTGAATAGTAGGCTGAGAAGGTCGTTCTGGCTATTAGGTACGACATATATATATTTATATATATATATATATATATATATATATATATATATATATATATATATATATATATATATATATATAATTTACTATGAAGTGAATAGTAACAAATTCAACCATCTAAATTGTCTATTACAGTATATCTATGTATGTATGATGGTTCCCATAGGTACAAAAAGTCTCATCAGAAGAGGAGGATGTGTTGGGTTTTTGAGCTTGGGAACACAGCTTTTGTCTGTAAATCTTCACTGACTCTGAATGCTTCTCTGGTGAAATGGCAGAATATCATTTGCTTCCTGCGCCTCACATGAAGGGGTCAGGTTTCGGCTCTGTTTCTTGGTAGGCCAAGTGAACCCGTGCAACTGATGTGATTGGTAGACTGGAGCAATCTCAGTAAGACAATGACAGGGATCCTCCGGGAATCTATCAGAAATGGTTGTTTCATTACATTCAATGCTTTTTTTTTTTAAGTGCTCCTTTGTAATCTCAGTTTTACTAAGTCCTAAGTCAGGCTGCGAGCAGCTGCGTCAAACAGCCTGGTTGACCAGTCCAGCAACGAGGAGGCCTGGTCGACAACCGGGCCGCGGGGACGCTAAGCCCCGGAAATACTCCAAGGTAACTCCAAGGTAATTACAAGATGTATTATTTTGTGATGAGAGTATGTTCAGTTTGAGTTATCTTCTACTTTTGATGAATGAGTCACTTCCCCATAGACAGCAGAATCATACCTTAGACAAGGGGCAACCAAGCAATTCTCCTCGGAAAGGCACTTTACATACAGTATTCTCTCTATTTGACTGCCCTGCAAACAAAAAAGTTTGACTTGGTATTTGTGAGGTGCCATGCTTGTTGACCTCTATTGGGCCTAGAGAATTATTTGGTTTTATATAGATGTAGTTTGCATTTTTGTAAATATTTGTGTTGTTTGTATCATGAGATATGCTAATACAGAACCATATATGAGACTGGTTTCCAGCACCTATCGATTACCTTCTTGCAATCAAACAATATTAGGCTAGTAACCTGAAGGAAAAAATTATTTAGCAACAAAATCAAGCATGGATTTATCATACAATATTTAAATTTTTGGGGGGATTGGATGAGCTAAAAAAATATTATTTGTATGGTAGTATTTTGTTTTAAATATTTATTAACTCTCATGCACGTACTATACAGTACAGCATTATATCCATTTTGATTTTTTGCAGATTTTTAGCTGGCATCAGCATCGGCCGAGCCAGTCGGCCAAGCGGACAACACGCTGGACTTATGATCCTGTGGTCCCGGCGTCGATCCCGGGTGCCGGCGAGAAACAATGGGCAGAGTTTCTTTCACCCTATTCCCCTGTTACCTAGAAGTAAAATAGGTACCAGGGTGTTCCCGAGACCTGGAACTTCAAGAACAAGAGGTCATAGATTTAAACTAACGAAACAAAGCTGCTGGAGAAATATAAGAAAATTCACTTTTGTAAACAGAGTGGTAGACAGTTGGAACAAGTTAGCTGAGAGGGTGGTGGAGGAAAAAACCATCAGTAATTTCAAAGCGTTATATGACAGTGCTGGGGAGAAGGGATACTTGAATATTGAGGTGATAAAGCTGAAAAAGAGTACTGTGTATACATTTCAGTGTTGCTGCACGCTCATGGGAAACGCCCAGGCCACCTTGAGGCAGTCTGGCGAGCACATGCCCAAAACACGAAAGTATTAAGATATAGGCACCATACATACAACTGCATATTCAAACTTTGGTCTCACAAAGGTCAAGAATAATTTTTCTAGTATTTTGCTATTAGGGCGTGCTTGGGAGTACCCAGTGTGCATGTTCACAGCCTCCTCATGGCTCCCCTTGATTTTCTCAGTGATGATTATGATAATGAGGAGATACCATGATAGTTTAAAGGCTATGTATAAAGAGTGCTAATTTTTTTTTTTTTCAAGGTAGGGTAGCCTTGATACTTTCAATGGCTACCTTTCAGGGGAAGTAACAGATTTTCAATCATGATTCACCAGCATTCATCCTTTTCACTAACACTATTGTGCCATTGAATAAAAAAAATGAATATTTGTAATTCTAAAATTAATAAAGGTTTAACTTGAAACGTGTGATATATTCTACATGTTAAAGATAGTAGCAGAAATTAGAGCAATGGATTTTTATTGCACAATACAATCTTTTGCACAGGTTCCAAAAAATAGTACTGGCAATATACAGTAAACATCTTTTGTAAAAAATACACAAGTTTAAGAGCAGTTAAAATATACATTATTATGTATAACCAACAGCATAGTCTTTCTGACATTCCTTACACTATTATTGAAGGCATAACAAATCAATCCATCATATTTAACAAAGATCTCGTACTTTCTGGCAGTCTCACCGCAACAATATTGAAATATAGTTGTTCAAGAAAAAGATCATATATAAAGATATTATTGCTTAAGATGTTTGAAATGAACTTAATTTGTAAAATGAGTAATAAAGATGTCATTCTTTAAAGCTAGAGTTTGACATTTCAAGCATTTATCTAAAAAATAATAGCTAATATTTAATTTATGAACATAATACTTTGGAGGCAAAATACAGAATTAAAAACATTACTTCCAATAAAAAAATTAATACTAGTGTACCAAACTATTTACAAAATAAAATTCATATATTGCAGCTGGCTATCAGTCCAAAGGATTGAAGAATCACAGAGTACCTATACAATATGCTGATACCATATTGGTATGAGCTCCCTAAGGGGGTAAAAACTGTCAATTTAATGCAGGCACGTATAGAAAAATAGTAACCATTAGACAAAAATTCTCTCTAACAACAAAAATATATAACCAGACCTAGACATATCAGATACAAAAGAAATAACAATACTAGAGAAATCCTATGTGACTGAAACACCAGCTTCAGTTACTGTGGCACCGAGACTGGATTCGTAGTTCTTTGAGTTAGCACTGCTCATTGGTAGCGTAAACATTCTCAAAACATTCACCATAAAACTGGAGATACTGTAACTAACTTTCAATACCATATTGGAAGCTCAAGTACATGAACACACTCAACAGTTTGTTAAGTCCTTTTCTTTAATGCTGAAACAGGAAATGACTTCACTTAAATATTTCAGGAATTGGCAATGATTGCACCAAATGCAAACTGACATACAGGAAGCAAGGTTGTTTAAAAATGGAAAATAGTACAAATTATATCTCCTCATGGAAGAACAGCTGAGCAATCAATTTAAAATATTAACTATTTATTCATGGTAATAATCAGGAATATTAAAACAAATACATAGAGGAATGACGTATAAGCATTTGGAAGAATCTGACAAAGAAGTTCCATAATATTATCACATTCTTGTAAATGAAGCTACCCATTATCAGTCTATCACACTTGGCACATTTTAGTTTTATGCTTCATAAGGCAGATTCATGTATACACTATGTGTTTCAACACACACAAACTTGAGTACCAGTATTCAATCATGCGACAGATGCTGACATGTTCACTTTAGATCAATTCTGCACTGATATTTGCCATAAAATAAACTTTCATATTTTGTCAAACTATTCTTCATTATGTTCATTGTAGGTTTATATAAACAAACAAATCAAACTCTGTATATAGTACATTTTCACAGTAAACTAAAAATCTAATCACCAGTTGGGACACGTACATAAATCTTTTCTAGTAGGTACTTGCATTCATAATTTTTGTATTTTGTATACAAATGGAAGCAGAATGACAAACTTGGTTATTTCAGTTCATATTTTCAGAGACCATTGTTTCCAGCAACACAATGCAATTTAGTGTAACAGTTATATTACAGGATCTATTTTCTTTATAAATATTTGTTATAGCATCATATTGAGCTGAGAAACTTCACTAACACCATCAATATACACTTCTCCATCAGAGTAAACAAACTTTCATGCACTCCTCACACGATATCACACTACAAATATCTATTACTGTCCAGCCTTCATAAACAGAAAGCTGAAATGCTAGCTCTTTTGAGATCCCTGGCAAGAACCCATATGAATTATCACTTGACCATGAGGAACAATTATTATAGTTATTTCCAGTCAAAGTGGCATCTATGCAAGTTCTTAACCATGGTTGTGCCACCATTAAGTACTTTTTAACAATAAGATACTAGACTAGGTAGTTTTCCAGGAGACCAAAGTAAAGGCGGTTTCAAGGTATCCCAGGCATGGTACCCCTCCAGATTCTCTAGTCGAGGTACTTTTAAGGTATCCTAAGTATGGTACCCTTCCTGGTTCTCTAGACGAGGTAGTTTTCCCGCTGCTGCACAAGAGGAAGTGGCTGCATTGGTGAGAGGTCATCATCGGAAGAACTAGGTTGCTTGGTCAACATGGTTAGAGCTCTTACTGTTGAACAAAATAGGTATGTATCATTAGCCTTTTATCTTAAACAAAACATTTGAATATTTTAAATATCCATTAATCTAGTTATATGCAGTTATCTATAAATGATAATAAGAGTTAATAACTAAATAACTATTGATAAATATTTATAAATTATGGCTTGATAATCAATGAATATGCATTAAAATTTATTGAAACATTAAAAATCTTGAACGAAATAACATTCACATTATTATCTTTCTCTGCACTAAAAGCCATGTATTATAATGTCAGCATTTCAAATAATTGGTGTCAATTTCTTTGACCAGTTTTTGCCAATATAATTAAACTTAAACTGTAAGTCTATAACAATATATTGTAATAAATCATATTTACAGTCAAAAGCTGATGATTCAGAGTGAGTGAGCTCGATTACCTACACGTGATTAAGGATCAACGCTACATTCATGGTAATTACCTAAGTGTAGTTACAGGATGAGAGCTACGCTCGTGGTGTCCCGTCTTCCCAGCACTCTGTCATATAACGCTTTGAAACTACTGACAGTTTTGGCATCCACCACTACCTCACTTAACTTGTTCTAACTGTCTACCACTCTGTTTGCAAAAAAACATTTTATAATGTTTTTGCTGCACCTTTGTTTCCTTAGCTTGAGTTAGCTTAGCATCATCAGCAAACATGTTCATATAATTCTGTATTCTATCTGGCAGATCATTTATATAGACAATGAACATCACCGGTGTAAGAACAGAACCTTGTGGTACTCCACTTGTGACATTTCCCCAGTCCGATACATTGCCTCTGAACTCCATCAAAAGCCTTTTTAAGGCCCAGATAGATACAGTCAACCCAACTATCTCTCTCCTGTAAAATCTCTGTGGCTCGATCATAGAAACTGAGTAAATTTGTTACACAGAATCTTCCAGATCGAAATCCATACTATCTGTCTGATATTATATCATTTCTCTTCAGGCATTCCACCCATTTAGTTTTAATTATTTTTTCAAATATTTTGACTATTACACTTGTCATTGATACAAGTCTATAATTGAGGGGGTCGTCGTCTTCCCTGCTGCCACTTTTGTATTTGGAACTATATTAGCCTTTTTCCACACATCTGCTACAACTCCTGTACACAGGACTGCCTGAAAAATCTGTGGAAGTGGAATGATGAGCTCAGGTGCACATTGTCTCAGAACCCATGGTGAAACTACAACTGCTTTGTTCTTACTTTGCTCCAAGAGGTAAATTTTACCTCTTACTTACTCTATTGTTAAAGTAAGAGTAACAATAGATATATTGCTGAAAAAATTCCTGTATATACTTCATATTTTTTAATTAGCGGAGCCATTTAGGTACATGCTTTTGCACCTTTTCTATTAGCTAATACAGTACATTACCTACAGAATGAGAGCTACTGTCTTGGTGTTTTGTTTTCCCTATATGCTATATAGGGAAAATACTGTACTATGTTTTGGTATGTGGTATTTTTGAAGCATCCAATGGTTTTGGCATACTACCCTCCAGGCTACACTCATAGCTCATGTTTTACATTTGAAAGCTAATTTGTAGCATGTCTTTGCAACTTTTCTAATTTATTAAAATGCTTTGTCTTGATATAGGGATGATTCAACTGCTTAATATTCTAATTTAGGACTCGTGTATACAACAAATAATGTTTTAAGCATTTCTCCATTATACATACAATGATATAACGTTTCTCCATCCTTACATTTAAATGCAATCCTGAAATTGCTAGAGTAGCACTGGCTTCCATTACAATATCCTTAATGAAGTCCCCTGGACTTCATTATGCTCTCCTGACACCTATTTACTGTGTCTCTTCTTTCTTGAGATTTGTAGCTTCTTTTCACATTATTTGATGCTACCATGTGTCATGGATTAATTTATTTGGAACTTCATTATGTGGGATTTATTGAATTCCAAATGCAGTTTGTTGCTCATGTGCTTATTTTTTCTAGGTCATTTTGAAGGGCAAGGTTCTAGGTCTTTATTCTTCTTGGTAGCTTATCCACAAACAGGCTCATACAGCTGTATATCCTTTTTCTAGATCATTCCTATAGAGAATGAATATTACTGGCACTCCATATTAGTGTCTGCTGTCACCTCTTCTGGGTGTTCTAACTTACAGAACCTTTTGTGCAAGACTTTATTGACCACATTTTAAAGTCCTGACAGATGCAGTCTGCCCAATAATTTATTTCCTGTAATATGTGGTTATACCATAAATGTGAGAAAATTGGTTACAAAGGACCTTCCAGTAGCAAGCTCTTATCACTAGATCATCGGTACACCTAAAAATGGGATAGATAGCTGATAACTAGTTGTCATGTGCAAATAAATTTTATACCACTCTATTGTTGAAATATATTTTCAGCCACATGCCTACACACACACACGGAGTAGTAGACAGTTGGAACAAGTTTAATGAGAAGGTTGTGGTAGACAAAGCTATCAGCAGTTTCAAAGTATTATATGACAGGGAATGCTGGGAAGATGGGACACCACTAGCATGGCTCTCATCCTGTAATTGCACTTGGGTAATTACTAGAAGGAATACCTGGCAGTGGCTGGGTCTGTCTCTTCTTCATTCTTTGCCCCCCTCCCTTCCATTTTCTTTCTGGTTCTCCTTCCCTTCTGTTCTTTCTCTTATTCTTTTTCTTATAACATGCAATATATGTACCTAGCAAATACATAACATAACCACAACGTTGCTTTTACTATTGTTACGTTGATTCAAAGTTGTAAGTGTTTCGGTTATGTTTGTGTGTGATGAGCATCTGAAAAACTCTACATAAAACCAAACCCGATTTCAGACATCATAGATGTTGGTTGCTGTAATAGGTGCCAATCTTATTATGACACTGCATACAATCGTAAATCACAATGGAAAGTTGCATAAGGCTAACCACAAGTCTCTGGCTTTCAGCCTCGGAGAGGGGTAGGGTATTATCAGGGGAAAGCACCAAGCCATTATGACTGTATAGTACTTGGAAGGGGTCACAATAAGGATTTGGAATGGGACAGGGGGGGGAGGGTTAGGAATGGTGCCCAGCCACTTGGACGGTCGGGGATTGAACACAAAAGAAATATGAGACTTTTTGTTTCAAGATAATGAACTATATAAAAAATACAAATATTAAATGTCCATAAAGAGCAAGAGAGATGAATGCCTTACTGAAGAGAGACTAAACAATATAAATTCTAAAAAATTAATTTATCAGTGTTGAGTTTATATTTATCAAATACAACTAATGTAGTTTTATATTCAGAAAATGGAATGAAAGGCAAGAAATGTTTGGCTAGTATAAATTGTTGCTAGCATCAATGTGGAAATAAAGCAAGCACAATTTTGTTGTTTTATGCTATTGAGATCAAATGCACTCAGGTGCATTAGATCTCAATAGCATAAAACACTCAGGTCTAATGCACTCAGGTGCATTACTTCTGCCTTTTGCTTTCTGAAGGAACAGTAAGAAACTTGGTTAAAAGCAGACAAACACTTAAATGGTAAAAAGTCTGTGTAATATAACAACAATGCAAGGAAGACACACACACTGAAGCATCAGCTTTAAGCTCAGCCTGAGGAGAGCTCTATGCGGTTGGTCAACCCACCTGCTGCTACATGGCCAGCTACAGCTCAGGCTCCACTGTGGTGTGAGCTGAAAATGGGGGAAAAACAAATAACATTCAGCATGCAACTACAAACTGGCATACGGTAAAGACCAGAGCTACCATGCAAAACTGGATAATTGGCTCTTTAGATATTATCTATTTAATCACAGAAATCTGATTTATGGGATATTCACTCATTACTAAGTCGGTACAATATACCACTTATTTTTTCCTTTGTAAATTTAATGTTGCTAAATTGTATTTTCTTAAATAATAATAAAATAGTAGTTACAGAAACAGCTTATCCCCTGCTCTTTATAGTGCCTCTTGAGCAATACTGTATTTGACAATTTCAGCTACAGAACTAATTGAGCTAAGTCAATTATGTCTTATATTTTGTGCACAATACTGTGGTAAAGAAATACATATACTGTGGCTGGATTTAATTATGGTTATTATAACCCATTGCAATAAAAAAAAAACTTTTAATTAGTGAAAAAGTATTTTTTTTAATGAACTATTATTGTGTATTGACTGTAAATGACTATGGATTCTAACACTAAACAAGCATATAATAAATATTAAACTGAATCCATTAGTGTTAATTATATACAAACAGAGTATATTGGTAGTCTCAGACAACTTTGTAGTAAAACTAAAATAGCATATTAGCATTAATCAGCAATATCATTATATATATATATCACAATAATATTTTGATTGGCTGCAACAAAATTATTCTAAGCTCAGTAATTCTGAGGCCACTATAATGTACTGAGCTCTTTGTATTAATAATTTTAATTATGTAATTAATCATTCAAAATGAAAAAGTGCCATATTGCTGCTCAAATTTTTCATGTTCAATCTTTTATTCTTTTCAAGGAACCCACCCTTGGCTACTCAATCCTTTTCAATGGACACCCTTGGCTATTCTGTCCTTTTCATTGGACCATCTTGGGTGCTCTATCCTATTCAATAAATCTCTTTGGCTGCTCTATCCTATTCAATGGACCCCATTGGCTGCTCTATCCTGTTTAGTAGACTCCCTTCGCTGCTCTCTCCTGTTCAATGGACCACCTTGGCTGCTCTATCCCATTCAACAGACCTCTGGCTGCTCTATCCTAATAAGTGGACCACATTTGGCTGCTCCACCCTATTCAGTGGACCATCTTGGCTGTTCTAGCCTTAGTGTCAGAAGATCAGTTTTACATTTTCTTTACTTGTGTTCTAAACTGTTGAACAAATCCACAAGGGCCGTGACGAGGGTTCAAACCTACGTCCGAGAGGATCCCAGACGCTGCCTTAATCGACTGAGCTACGACATGGTTAAAAGAAGCTTTGTTCATTTGATGCATCACACTATTGTGCTTTGTGTGTGTTCTAAGCTGTTCTTGGTTTAAAACAAGGAAAAAAGGATGGTAGCAAATTACTTTAAAACATAATGATGGATCATAATTAGGTTAAACCAAGTGAACTATATGAGGCATTTTTTGTAAGTAAAAGCCACTAAACAAAAGAACGAGGACCACTTACACACACATCCTATTTGACGGCAAAAATAGAGGAGCAAGGAAAATCAATATAACAATATCTGACAAACAATTTTGTTACTGTACTGGATTATGTTCAGTTATATTAATTAATCTGGTAGCTCTGGATAATATTAGCAAAACAATTTCATGCACAAACTTTTGATCAAAATTATGAAAGTGCATAATAAACCATGCTACATATGAATTTATATTAAACAGTTTATGAGTAATGCCATACAAAACTTAAAAATAAAATTCATGCTCAACTGATGCCTCAGATTAGACTAATAACAATGTTTTGACTAATACAACAAATCAGAAAAAGTCAATATGACAACACTCTTATAAGTCAAATGGTCTTGAAATTTTTGGAAATCATTAAAATTTATAATCTGTACATTTACATGCTACAAAACTGTAGTTATTAGCAAGTTATAGGTAAAGTGCAATAATGAGGTTGCAACATCATGCTAAGTTTAGTGCAATGAATGAAGAACTATTATATTACTGTAATTTCTATTGCAAATATAAAATGCTGTACTATACATAATGTATTATGCCATCATTCAAAATTTTCTGAAACTATATTTTGCTGAAATTTATTTATTTGTTTGTTTTTCAGTGTGGCATCTCATGACACCTTCAGCTTTCCCTGATGGATGAAGAGATTAAGGGAAGGGGAGCAGGATTCTGGTTCTTGCCTCCAGGAGACTATGAGACAGACTTAGATTCCTGGAGGACCACCTGTGCATAAGCTCTAGAGTTCCCATAAGAGGAGGGGAGGTCGTCCCCCACAAAGAAGTATTTCATTATACTCGATGCCTTATTTCTGGGCATCTGGACAAAGTTGCTTATTGTATCATTGGCCAGTTTTGCATAGACTGCCCACAATGGTCAGTCACCTTTAGCATCAAAAGGATTAAAGATACCGATAGGCAAATTTTTTGAGAATGACAAGTTTTGGCAACTATGGTTAAGGATTTGCTGAAACATGATTATTTAAACAAAATTTAAAGTACTTTTTCATATTTAATATTTCATTAAATTAAATATTTTTGGTTACTGAACTCATTTGTCTGAAACACTGGGCGTACTAGTGGCTTTAGGCATAGTATATACTAATTCTATCTAGAAATCCAGCATTCTGTTTGTAACTCATTTTGTATGTATGTACTATTACCTGAATAAACTATTATTCTTATTATCATTATTATAGTTGCTCCATAAAATAAGGTCCTCCCTGGATACAGAGGACAATAAGAGCATATCGATATTTTGCACTGGTACCAAAGGAAACCTTCAAAGCGTCCCTGCAGGGTCATCATAATACTTGGTTAGCACTGGATAACCTGGCAGAAGATACACTCATAAAAACTTGAGGCCTTTACTAGCCCTCTCTCATATCACAAGTTATTTCCAAGAAACACTTATTAACTATCAGGTAGCCAACTACACCTCTAGCACTGACCATCACTAGGTGGCAGCACTGACATTAGAAGATTTCCTAACACTGTCCTTTCTAATTCTTCCTGACCGTCATGCAGAGAGTCAGGTAGGGACCAGTAAAGTGACTTGTTTCATCACTGGAAACTGTTTTCTCTTTTGTACACAAAGCTCATGCTTGTAATTTGAATGCTTCCTGTGTGCATGGAATACATATTATTTGTATTCCCTGGAATACTGCTCAGCAGAGGCGCATCTCTTGAGTTTTCCTTATTCCACTAGCAGTTCCTAGATACTTTGTGCGAGGACATATTCATTTGAGACAATGCACAGCATTACTTATTGTATTTTTTTGTTCCTTTACCTTGGTGTGGCCCAGAGTGTACTGTTTGCTCTACAGATTATGCCTTGGTAGGGATGTTCATATTTTTTTATGGTCACAGGTACCTCTCAACTCCTGAGAGGAGTCAGGATTAGATTAGCGTTAGCTTAAAATCTAATCCTTGGAACCCAATTTTCTTCTTAGTTTGTGTTCCTGTGCAAACTGGTGATCTGGAATTGGTCTTTGGCCATTAGTTGAGTTTAGTGGTTCTGCAGTTACCAAGCCATCCTTGGCAGTCACTTGTGAATCCAGGAAGGGCTTGTATGGGACTAGAGTTTTCATCAACTTACCTTCTGATGAATATTCCATGCTAGAAAGAATGCTATCCAGAGCAACTCTAGTACAATCATGACCCCACAGGATTATTTAAAAGGTTCCGTGGTGTCAACCTGCCCTGTCATGATATTGCTCACTGGACTCAAGAGAACCTTACCTTGGGAAGAAACCAAGTGAGACACTTAGAAATTATACATTATTTTTTTATACAATGACATCAAAAAATATTTTGATTCTTAGTGGACGACACAAAATTCACGTTTAATATCTAGTAATACTAATACTATATTATTATTTTATTTAATAGCTTAGAAATATTAAGCTGCTAAGCTGTTCTGTCCAGGCTCTAACTTCAATATAACTAGACATATAAAATGAACATACCATAATGACTTATTATTGTAATGAATATTTTATCAAAGACTAATACCTAACAGCAAATCAGCAATGTTTGTTCCCATGGGGAGCCCATCGTAATTCAGACTTGTATTCTTAACAAAAGTAACAGCCAGCAACCATCAGTAATAGTTAACACTCAGAATAAATGCATATTACTGTTATAGGATATTGAGAGTTATACAGTATAATTTTTTACTATGATCCTGTATACAAATTTGTGGAACAATTTTCAGAAAATGTTGAAATCTGGCAATATTTCTAACATTAAAAATAAAATTCTTTAGCTGCTTAAAAATAAAAATAAATGAATGTTATAAATAATTATAAAATCTAGAAACTAAAGTTGAGACTGAAGTGGCCAGTAAATTTACATTGGTGAAAACACCATATCAAGGTGAACAGTGGCTGGTATACTTGTGATAGCATTTATTCCTCAAAAGGTGTGAATTTCAGACCAAAACATGTTGATACTGTGAGTGCATTTAAGCAACCAGCTCCCAAACATCAACAAATGTTTTCACCAAAAAAAGCAAAATCAGAGAAGGTGCAAATTCACTAGCTGAACACCATACCTGCTACTACACGACTCTTTTCCATGACCTGACGAGCAAGAATCTGGTTCAAGGCCAGAAGGTGTTCACGCTCCTTCTTCTCGGCTGCTACCTTGGCTTTGAATGCTGAGGAGGAACTGGATGTGATTTCACTTTCCGATGACTGGTCCTCTCCTGTCTCCCCCTTTGTGGCTGTGGTCTGTGTCTCGGACAGCATCTTGCGGATGGATTCTGCTTTCTGTTCTCTAAGTGCACGCTCTTCTTCAGTTATTTCTTTTTCATCATCCTAATTAAGAAACGAGGTTGTCTTAACCCTTGGAGAATGGCTATGGAAAAAATGGTCGTACTCACCTATGCACAAAAGTTAAAAAAATGCCCCCCAAAATATTTTTTTATTATAGAATTATTAATTTGTATGCAAAATATAAGAAAAACATAAGTGAATATTCACGTTTTTACTGGGTGGAAGTGATCTGAAAGGTTGTGCAGTGGCTGTGGTGTGGCATCTGTCACCACAAAATGCCAATTTTGCTGACACTAAGGTATATAAAATATAAGAAAAACATAAGTGAATATTCACGTTTTTACTGGGTGGAAGTGATCTGAAAGGTTGTGCAGTGGCTGTGGTGTGGCATCTGTCACCACAAAATGCCAATTTTGCTGACACTAAGGTATATCTTGAGGTTATCTTGAGATGATTTCGGGGCTTAGCGTCCCCGCAGCCCGGTCCTCGACCAGGCCTCTTTTTTGTTACACACCCCCCAGGAAGCAGCCCATAGCAGCTGTCTAACTCCCAGGTACCTATTTACTGCTAGGTAACATGAGCATCAGGGTGAAAGAAACATTTTGCCCATTTGTTTCCTCCTCCACCGGGAATTGAACCTGGAACCTCAAGACTATGAATCCGAAGCGCTGTCCACCCAGTTGTTAGGCCCCCTAACTAATAGTTAGCGGGACCTATGCGAGACACGACTCCTGTGTTCTGCTCAGATGTTTCATTGATTGTTTATCACTTGTTCTCTTTAATTACAAGTGCATGTATATTGAATAACAAGATAAACTACATAATTCACATCACACATGATAATTTTTTATTTATTTATACTGTACAGTATACACAAGAGTTCTTACATCATAAGAACATAAGAACATAAGAACAAAGGCAACTGCAGAAGGCCTGTTGGCCCACACGAGGCAACTCCTATATATAACCACCCAATTCCACTCATATACTTGTCCAACCCGCGCTTGAAACAATCGAGGGACCCCAGTTCCACAATGTTACGCGGCAATTGGTTCCACAAATCAACAACCCTGTTACTGAACCAGTATTTACCCAAGTCTTTCCTAAATCTAAACTTATCCAATTTATACCCATTATTTCGTGTTCTGTCTTGTGTTGATACTTTTGATACCCTATTAATATCCCCTTTGTTATGTCCATTCACCCACTTGTAAACCTCTATCATGTCGCCCCTAACTCTTCGCCTTTCCAGTGAGTCCTTTACATCCTTTACATCCTTGTAAAGCCACTAGCATACACATTGTTTTGGGCAGGTCCTTGATCTTAGTTTTCCCCGGAATATGATCTGCCAAATCGTATCTGTCTTAGAGCAGTGTCTTACCACTGCTCTATGGGGACTGTCAATGTTTCACGTTATGATTTTTTACCTAGTTTACTTCATTACAATCATAAATAGTAGTGAAACCATGTAAACATAACATACATGGGTGTTGGGCTTTGGGCGATGACATAGGGCCTAACTGGCACCATATGGGTGACAATATAGATTGAAACAGAGGCATAAACCACCAATAGGTCACTCACAGATGACAGCACGCTCTTAGTACATGCCGTGCATGATAATAGTTCAGTTGATGATTAGTTTACTCAGGATAACTTATTACAACTATATAGAGTTGTGGAACCTATATGAACATCATTGGTAAGCTCACATAACAACATAACCATGAAACAATTACAGGATTTTTTTGAAGGTTAAATAAATTACATTACAAATTTACATTACATTACATTACATTGTAAATTACATTACATCCACATATAGCTATTAAATCCGTATCTGCATCATACATATAAAATCCAGGCAATAATTGTTTAAAACTTCACATGTTGATAACCGCATTACCCAGTGAATCAACATATGAAGATAGCCGCTAAGTGTTAAGCTAAAAATAAAAAGTTAAGCTCAAGATAACTTTTCATTAATCCTTCTGCTGTGACAGACATCCCTGCTGTTTTATAGAATTTCATGAAGCATGTGATAGCCATCTCTAGATATAGGCACTGTGAGAACCTGGGAAACATTTCACCAAAGGTCTCTAGGGATAGATGGCAATGTTATGAAAAGCTATTTAAGCTCCAAGTGCTTGCGGACCCTTTATGGAGAGCATGTCACCTGCTGCTGTGTCACCACTTTACAGCACTATATGGTATGCCGATATGGATGGCATCGACACTCATCGCAGACAGATATATAAATGTCCTGTAATGGTATTATCAGTATATGGGTTTAGACTTGTAAAATACAATGCTTAACAATACAAAATCAAACATAACACACACTAATATTTCTGTAAAAAAGCTGGTTTTACTACAACTAAGACAGAAATAACAATGTTAAAACTCACCTCATCTGGCATATATCTTTCTGGAATGTAGATTTTACTTGGGGCACCAAGAACTGAGTCAATTGTTGTTTCATTAAACCGGAGATCTCGAGTACTTAGAGTTGATTTGACAACATCTGGGTGATTACGTGGTCGTAATGCACGGACCATGTCGCAGTCATCCCTCGATCTTGCACCCTAAGTAAAATATCTTGTATGTAAACAACAGACACTAAAGGCAAAATCATTATTAGACTATGAAATGTAAAATTATTGGAAGCTGTAAAAGATGTGTGCGTAACTAAGTTATAAAAAAGAAAAGGAGGAAAGGTGAATTGATATGTCAAATGTTTGAGGTAATCAAGAAAGAGAGAGAGGCATGAAAAAGATTGCTCCAGAAAGATGTGCTATGTGATAAGACACAAAAAAGAAAGATGGAATATAACAGTTGAATAATAATTGTAAGGAAAATAGTTAGAAATGAAAAATGGTAAATGATGAGATGTTTGGAGAGAAAGTTAAGTGAGGGCTTTATAAGAAATACAAATAATTGTTATAATATTGTGAAGTGGTGAAATAGGGTATGCCAAGTACCTGGCAGAGTGAAGGATGTGCAGGTGGATGTTGATGACGAATGTGCATTATGTTAACAAGAGGTGAATATTTTAAACGAGTGGAGTAAGGTGGAATAAGACCAGTGGAGCAGGATGAAAAATCTGGGGAAGTTGGGAAGCTATGAATAGGTTAAAGGAAAAAAAATCCTGGTATAAATGGAACAAATGGGGATATGTTAAGAAATAGGGGTGTGAACTGATGGTTAATTTAGTGCTAGATATACTGTATGTCAAATGGCATGGAAGGAGTTTGGTGTTGGACCAAGGCTATTGTGGCCACTACATACAAAGAAAAGGGTAGTAGGGAAGCTCATGGAAACTATTAGACAATTAGTTTACTTAGCATCTGAGGAAAAGTGCTTGCAATGGTGCAAATTAAGAGAGTATGACAGAGAATGTAGAATAAGGAAAAAATGTTGGATTGAGGAAGGAAAGTGGTTGTTTAGATCAGATGTTTACTGTGAAAGTAGTTGTGTGCTACCTGTATAGATTCAGAAAGAGTGCTTGACTGGACTGATCATGAATCACTGTAGAGGGAAAGGGTTAAGAGAGCTTGAGAGGCTAACATATTTGTGTGATGAAAGTCTTATGGAGAAACTTCTGCTGTGGGCACCCCCTGATGAGGAGACTCCAAGATGGAGTAATGTTTAGGGACTAGATATAATGCAACGTCCAAAAAATACTTAATGCAATGTTATGTAAAATTTTGGATTGCATATTTCTATAAAAATGAGTCGTGCATTAAGTGAAAACAATAAACTTGCTTTGAAAAGAATATAAATATATAATAATATAGTTATGTATATGTTTTGATAAAAAGCAAGAAAAAAATGGGTTTGCAAATTATAATAATGTTTACAGTGTATTAATATAATTATAAAAAAATCACTAACACTACAGTAAAGAATATACAGTATTTAATAAAATTTCTGTAGTAACTAAAATTAAATGATCAACTATAGATTCATCATATACCTATACAATGCTATAACATCAATGGTGGCTACCCTACCTCCTCTGCGCCAGCATCTCTCGCTTCTGTTATTGGCCGGCTGCTGGAGATTGTAAAATGCCGTCTCTTCTCTTTAGGTACTGCACGGCGATGCTTTTCTGCCTCAGAGGCCATTTCCTTAATAATTTCCTGAGCTGCTGCACTTTTGAACACTGGGGAGGGAGGGTCCGATTTGGCTGGGGATGCTGGGGGGGTTTGGTCAAATTCCCGAGCAAAACCAAAAAGCTGTTCATGTGCACTCAAAGGCCGGTCTTTGGGGTTCTCAGTCTACAGGATCAGAATAAAATTAAAAGCCATGCATTACTAATACAATCTACACAATCATCATACAGAAGATTGAAGAATATGGGAAATTACAGTACAAGGGGAATAGCAGAAAAAGAACTGAAAGTAAACAAGTATATAATATGAAGTTCCATTTAAATTAAATAATCAAAGAACTGTATACTATGAACAAGAGTACAGTAAGAAAGTACTAAAACAATTAATTTTTTGGGAAAAAATAAAAACACACATGCTTGTGTCTCTGTCACAGATTTCAAATAACAAGAGGCAAAATAAGAGAGATTACATTACCAAGCTTTATTTCTTAAATATTTCTCATAAGTACCTACCTTAGATTTCCAACCTGCTGACTTTTTGAGAGCTAAATTGCTAGGACGAGACATCGTCCCAGCATTTCCAATGCTAGTTCGCATCATAGCTGCCATCATGCTGACTCTTTCTCCTGGACCATTACGGCCATAGTTGCGAGGTAATGAAGCAGACCTTAAAAATAGAAGTACATAAACAATGTGAAAAAAAAATATAAAACATTTTCATTCAAATACATTACAGTCTATTAATATAATTATAAAAAAATCACTAACACTACAGTAAAGAATATACAGTATTTAATAAAATTTCTGTAGTAATTAAAATTAAATGATCAACTATAGATCATAGATCATGTTTAACAATGGTTTTTTAGTGTGTGTGTACTCGCCTAACTGTGCTTGCAGGTGCTGAGCTCTGGCTCTTCAGTCCCGCCTCTCAACTGTCAAATCGACTGGTGTACAGATTCCTGAGCCTACTGGGCTCTATCATATCTACATTTGAAACTGTGTATAGATTTTGCCTCCGCCACATTACTGCCTAATACATTCTATCTGTTAACTACTCTGATGCTGAAAAAGTTCTTTCTGTATGTGTGTGTGTAATATGTATATAATATGTGTAATACTATACACACTACATTATGCATAAAGAATGAAGCAAAATACCTTGATGCAAATGAAGGAATTGAAGGACCATTTTCAACATCTGACATGGCATCACTTTCAACATCATCCTCCAATAAATGGGTCAAGGTGGAATCTCCAATTGTAACACGCTTCCCCCCTGTACCACGATCTTTTTTTCGTTCAGTTGATTCTCTCTTGACTATTCGTACAGTCTTGATCTCTAAAGGCTTCTCTTTTGGAAGAATACCTGTAGAAGCAGTTAAAATGGTATTTATTTCATAAATAACTTTAATAATGTTCATATAATATATAGTACTTTTCTCCTGGCTTCTCATATTTACAGAATACAGTAATTTTTTTTAATATTATTAAATTGAACAGATAAACAGCATCATCTGGGTAAGTGGCATTGGCATATTTAATCTTGATAAATAAATGGAAAGTTAAATAACATGCCTAAAAAAGTATAACATTGAATAAGGAATGTAGAATAAAAGCAGAGTTATCAAGAGTGTTATTACATGAATAATATTTTAAGTGTATATTATCATTTTCATTTTTTGTATATTGTCTTTCAAACAAATGTTTGTTTAATTTTGCCTGGACTATCTAAACAGTCTTACTCAATTTTTGGGTTGATCTCTGATCCCAATCTTGACTTGCATCCTTGAGAGAACAAGATTCTGGGTTTGGTACCCATTAAGGCTGCTGATGTCTCAAGAGGCTTGATACAGTCTGAAGGATTACCAGTATTAGTGTGTGAGCGCAAGGAAAGCTTCAGAAGGGCCAGTTAAAAAGGGGCATTTCATTACATACAATTTATTTTTTCTCCAGGGTAATGATGCCATACCCTTTGAAAATGATAAATTGGGAATAATGATTTATGTAAATACTGTGTGTATGAATTTGTGTATATGTACTGTAACCTACCATAATATCTCTTCATTCTATCGTCAGCATCATTAATATCCAAATGACCTGCAGACTGCTGCTGTTCTTCACCATCAGGTTTGTTGTCGTCAGCATCGCGATCCAAACCAGTCATGGCATCCAGAATTATATCTCCATTCATTAAAGGCTGAAATCATCAAAATACAGTACAGTACTGAATTACCATAGTTTTAAAGTTTATTCATATCTTCTTGGCTATATTAGGCAAGACAAAGCTCTAAACCACATTAGAAAAATATTATTTAATGCTTTTCTTCCCTTTGAAAACCCATGAGGGCACCTGGAATACATGTTTAAATGTGGCAAATGAAGGTAAATATAAATAATGGTTATATAACAAAGAAAAGTCAAGTTAAAAGTCTAAGATTAAGCGTATATTCATAAAGCTGTTACTGTAAGTCTCTGAAAAGTCACAAACTAAAATTTGTGGGAGTTTATAAAACTCCCATAAATTGAGATTTTTGTTATACATTTCAGCTTGGCATATAAAGCACATGCAAACTTCAGTTTGTGACTTTTTCAAGATTGACAGTAATAATATTTTAAAAGCTATGAGTAAGAAAACCCAAATAAAAAATGCAGATTCACAAAAACTGGTACACTAAGTTGAATGAAACTAAGCAAATTTTAAGTTACCTGTCTTCGTTTTGACTCTCCTAAAGTTGACTGTGAGTGAAGATATCTAACATCTGTCTGATATGGATCTGCCAATGATGTCTGACCATCAAGAAGTTGATTATAAGAGCGCATGTGTTCAGGTGGCGGTGGAGGTGGAGGATAGTCAGAGTCAATATAGTCAGGACTCTCTGGGTAGTCATTGGGGCTCAGCTGTAAAAAAAATTTAAACTATATAGAATGTACTTCTAAATAATTTGGGAACAGGCTCATTGACATGTGTGATTTATTTTATATTTTCTCCTGAAGATTGTACTTATTGTTATATGTTTTAGCATTGAAGCTAATATTATTGTACACACATTGACACCATGTCGGGAGCACGCCATAAAATAACGTAGCAGCATCAGTCTAACACCAATAATGGTTCAGTGACACTTTGGATATAGTATGGATCTTCTCCATCATCATCAACATTTATCACCATACAATGCAACACTCGACAAGTCTAGTTTCAAATCTCACACAAGATGCTACAGCCTCACTACAGAGCAGACAGTAACTCAGGCCTTATTTGAGCTACACACTCTCCCAGCATTTGAGTTCTCTGATCCTGCCTTCATTTGAGCTCTACACTCTTGCCCTTCTTCAGGTTCTCTACCCGTGACCTCGCTCAAGCTCTCTGCTCCAGGCCTCACATAATCTGTCTCCAGCCACTGTCAGCACATCTTATCTGAATCTGCCAGTAACACATAACAAGCATCCTCATCTCAGCCTATCATGAAATGTCATTTAATTTCCAACATCTGACTGGTGTAACCAAGACTGCATTAAATAAACAAAAAATCATTATACTCGTTGAATGTTTTCACCCAAAATCGTATACATTACGGTTCAATATCACCCCCACCTGCCCTGGGTATGATGAAAGAGGTCCACCAAAGTCAATATTAAGGAGCTGAGAAACTTATGTTACTGGCATGTAAGGCCCAGCATGTCCCAAGCAAATATTACATCACAGCCTCCAACCTGCCCCTCAATGAGGAATGACCTGAATATCTATGGGCCTGCAGGAAATAAGAGGAGAATGCAAAACCCAGTACTTCAAAACAGAAGCACCATACTGCCAAGAAAACAATGCTATCTTTCCATGGACTGCAGCTGGATGTAACAGCACAGAAAAAACAAACCAAAATATAAATACATTAAAATCTAGACATGTAAACAATGTCTAAATTTTATGTCATGGAGTACAGATATCTAGCTATATAAAAGAGGTAAAGTACCATTTTCCCTAATAACAAACAATGTCCTTCACTATTATCTTTGAATTTGATTGCTATAATTATAGTTAATATACAGTTTAACTGCAACTTTAGTTTATCTGCATCCAAAACTTATACAAGGAAGCATTACTTGTCAAACATTTTACATTAAAATACTAAATACAATACCTCTTCTACATATCCAGCAGCATTAACATAGACTGGAGGATTGCCTCTTCTGTCATTTTCTGGAGGATCCATCCCTCTATCTCGGGTAATCATTGCATCCAAGTCTGTTTCTAGCCAGGTGCTATGAGTTCTCCGTCTTGCAGGCACCGGAGCTGCTCCTACCACACCTGTTGGTGAAGGTCGAATTTCTATGCCAGGATTTGCTGATGTTAATTTTTGAATCTGTAATTCAAAGAAAATATATTGATCAACTTTTGAATCTACAGATTGAAAAAAAACATAGAATATAATAGACCAACGTTGTTAAAACTTTGAAATAATGGTGGCTGATTCCAATGAAAGTATATAATTGCATTTAATTTTACATAATTTAAGAGCATTTTATAGGCCATAAATATCTGGTGCAGAAATACTGTATAGCTAATAAATTATTGTATTGTCTGAATCATGCTATGTTCACTGTTCTAGAATCTAGGGAAGCAGAGTGATAAATGAAGCGGGTCTTTGGTTCTATAGCTAGGAAAAGATAACACAATTCTAGCAACTTTGGTTCTAACTTGGTCTACAACCCTCACATGAATTCCAAATGTATCTAGGACATATTTATAGACTAAATACTTTGTTCCACAATTTTTTTAAAATAAAATCTGTACCCTAATCATAGTGTTATATCCAATAATATCACTTCACAACACCTTAAGTGTACTGTTTTACTATATGTACAACAAATATGTTAATTAATATGAAATAAAAAAGTGTAATTTATGGTAGTATATAAACAAAATTTTATTTTATTAATTCTATCCTTCATGGAAAACCCATTACAGTTACATGATTTCCTATCATGATGTATGTGTGTTTCGTGGAAAGATACCACAATGACAGGTTGTTGCCACTAGCCATACATTAGATTAACATAATTATTAAATATTTTCCTGTATTATTTTACAATGCTCTTTAAAAATATAAAGGTAAGCCTATAAGACCTTGCACAACCAATGAAGTAAACTACTGGGTTTCATCACCTAGGGAAACACTATGCTGAAACAAGTGAGTGCCTTATAAATTAAATTTTTTATTTAGATATACTGTACAGAGGAACCATTGGTGACGAGCGGCTCCATCTACGAGTATTTCAGGTAACGAGCAAGCCACTTGCAGAAAATTTGTCTCGATTGATGAGCTTCCGCTCGGTTAACGAGAAAACTATGTGGTGCTTCCTAGCGTTCCCGCTGGTTCTCGCAAATTCTCGGATGCCTCCAACCACGCAAGTCAATTAATTTTTTTTTAAAAGATGCTAATGATGCTGGGATGTAAAGGGGTGACTGCTGTAATGTTGCAAAGCAATGATTTTTTTTGTATAAAAAATTAAAAAAAAATAAAAAATTGAAAAAACTTGAAAAACAAAAAATGTCCAAAGATTCGTTCAGTGTATGTCAGGAAGACTCCTCTATTCTAAAAAAATAAAAAAAATAGAAAATTCAAAAAATGGAAAAAATTTGAAAAAAAGAAAAAAATGTCAAAAAGGTTCGTTCAGTGCTTGTCAGATAGGCTCCTCCATTTTCTATAAAAAAAATTGAATATCATATAGATGTTTTTCAGTGGTGGAACAGATTATTTTATTTCTATTTTATTTTTATTATTTTAAGCAGGGAAATTCGTTTCGCAAGACGAGCGTTCACATGACGAGCTCAGTGCCGGAACGTTTAAATTTGTTAACCGTGGCTCCTCTGTATTACATATTTGGTTTCTTGTCTTTCATATTATAATTTCACGATTTCTTATTTTGTAATTTTCCATTACAGTATTTTGCTTACTTGGTCTTGTACAGGCAAATTTAATTTTATTTAAAAATTCAAAAATATATCTGAATTTATGAAATTTAAAATTCAGGATCACTAGTAAAAATGCTGGTATCAGCAATTTAAGACAAAAATAAATGTTCTGCAAATCAAAATTTTCTTGGTAGAATCTATAACAAGCTTACTGAATTAAACTTGTTAAACTTTGAATCACAAATTCAACTCAAAAGATCGAGCCTTATCCAAATGTAAGGACATAATACTGTATTGCATTATGTCATAATATTTGACAAGAAGTGATAATTGACAAGTTTAAAGATAAATAGCATTTAAAGATAACACTGTCAAAATTTAATTAACCAACCTGATGACTAAGCTCAATTCTTCGCCTCTGAAGATCTTCTAATAGTGTTTGGACACGAACCATTTCTGCTTCAATATGGCGTGTTTCAGCTGTGCCGCCAGATTCCCTTTGAGAATTACGGGCCATTGTCATCTGAATCTTTTGCCGTAACATCATCATTTCATGCTCTAGACGACTATTCTCAGCTGCAGTCTCTTCTAGTTTCTGTATGTGTTTAATTATAGTTCTTTTATCTTTCTGTAGACATTTAATCACTTGAAATGTAATGTTAATTTGTTACCATCATATTGTATTGCAATAATAATAATAAATACCTGATACTGCAGGGAAAATATTTTCTTTATAAACCCAAATTGTGGTGATACACGTTAGTTTACATAATTATCCTGAGAAACTAGCATGCTTTTCTTAGCCAAACAACAAAATTTAGCATGGCTTAGTCTTTTTCTAGTTAGTGGAACATAGTTTGAGATGCAAAAAACCAGCGTTGAATGTAATGAAACGCCATTTTCTGGGTAAGACCCGGTAGCTCCCCAGAGCTATCCGGGCTGGTATGAATGTATTAAGACCCTGGCTTCAGTCAAAGCGAATGGAGTTCTTAGGCCTACCGGGGACCACGAGCCAGAACCTGGCCCCCTCAGAGAGGCACGAGGAGAAATGGCCAATAGAAACCCCCGTGTGGTTGAGCATTCTATGTCTGCCATTGACCGAGTTAGGCACCCAGAAAGGTTGGCGCCCCAAAACAAACCCTATCTGGTTAAAAAATTGTTACTGAAAGTCGATCTGTTGGACAGAACTCCCCAAACGAAAAACGAGCATGACGTCAAAACCGTCACCTCACCGCTGTCTGGGTAGCTCTCCCTCCCAGGGAGGGGGAAGGGAGAGCCCCCAGACCCCCCCCATGCCAGCTATCCACCCCCAGTTCTGAGGCTGGATGTCAAAACATGTGAAAACCGCCAATTGGAGGGCGGGAGGGTTGCCGGGGAACTTCTGGGTCTGAAACCAATCTGAAACAGAAGAAAACCTACAGAAGGACAAGAAATAAAGAAAGGACCTCCAGGAAACTTCATACTGCCGCCGAGACACCATCAACGAAGCCACCTGCTCACCATACAAATGGTGATAGACCTATGTCGGAAAGACTAGATGCGAAGACAGGAGGACAAGATCGAACCAGTTACGTAACAGACTGGCCCGATCTGCTGAAAGAGGCGAAGCCACGGGAAGACCTCCGGGTTCAGACACTGAGCAAGCAGCGCCTGAAACCAAGGCTGGGTCGGCCACCAAGGGGCCAACAGGACTACTCTCCGTTGGTAAGTCTCCAAGCAAGCTAGGACCTGCAGCAACAGCAGAACCGGGGGAAAGAGGTACAGGTAACCCTACCTCGACCAGTCCTGCCTGCAGGCATCGACCCCAATGGCCTCGCAGTCAGGGATGGCGCCACATAAACCAGGAGACGCCTTGACCATGCTAAGGTGAAGAGGTCCACCTCCGGGAGCCTGTACATTTGGCAGAGCCAACTGAATGAGTCGGGGTCGATCGTCCATTCCATGGACAGGGGAATGAACTGGGACAGGCCATCCGCGAGGACATTAGACACCCCCCTCCCGAACGTGAACGACCAGGAGAGCCAAACCCCGAGAACTCAGCAGACGAGTTACCCAAACCGACCAGCCCCAAAGAGCCAAGGACTGAAGGGAACCCCCCTCGGTTCAGACAATGAACCACTGGGGAGCAACCTGAATGGAGCCGGATTGTCGATCCACGAGTGACCCAAATCCCCTAGAGTGACATCCACACGGCCGCAAACTCTCGCAGCACACTGAACACCGAAAAACCTGAAGAGGTAACCGGTGACGCAGCAACCAACATAAGGTACCCGGAGGCCAAACCCAGCGATCACGAGAAGGGTGGAAGGGATGTCCCCGAAAGAACCAGAACAGCCGACGAAGCCAAACCCGGCCCGGCGGGTAGACCACCATGGCAAAGTTCAGATTCCCACACAAGCCCTCAAGTAACCACCTCGTGACTTGGAAGCACTCCAGAAACAGCTGAAGGCGGGACCGCAGCCGCAGCAGAGCCTTCGGAGTGAGAGACAAGGAAGTGATCCGAGAGTCCCACACAACCTAGCCACAACCAAACCTGAGATGGAACCAGATGGAACTTCCTCCAGTTCACCTGTTACCTGAACCCAGTGAGCTAGGAAAGAACCAAATCCCTGGCGAGCAGATACACGGACCGGCTGGGAGGCCACACCAGCCAATGTCGTTGAGGTAGGCCAGAACCCGAAGCCCCTAAAAGACGCAGACAGGCCACCACGACCCGGGTAAGGCGTGTGAACATGCGAGATTCAAGATTCAAGCTGAATGAAAGGAAACTAAAGTGGTAAGCCTGAGGCCCCACAACAAAACCGAGCCAGTCCCTAAACCCTGGATGAATCGGGACATGCTAATACAAGTCTCGAGGTCCAGGGACACCATCCAAGCACCTGGCTTCAAAAGAAGATGAACCTGGGACTGATTAGTCATCTGAAAGGAGGGGCAATAGACCCAGGGGTTCAGACGGGATAAGTCCAGAAATAACCGCAGGTCCGCGCTGTTCCATTTTGTAATGGGAAACCGGCGAAAAACCCACCTGAGGTTGATTTGGCATACAGTACTTCATTACATCCACATAGAGTTGAGAAAACCATATGGACATAACTGGTATACATATCATGTAATTTTGATGGAAATTTATACAATAACAATTACCACATTCACAAAGTAACATTTGTAACAATAACTGCATTCATTAGTAAATTAATCATGAAATGATAGAAGGATTTGTATGTGTCCAGGTAAACTCCATTACATCCACATAGAGCTATTATACACATATAAGCAACATACATATAAAACCCAGACAATAAAATTTTTAATAAATGTATGATGATAATCGCATTACCATGTAAATTAACATATGACAATGACTGCATTCTAAGGGTTAAACATATATGGGATTTGATGGAATGCTCTTAAGTTTTGGGAACAGCTTTTATGCAGGGAGAAAAGAATATGTGAATTTTAATGGTGTAATGAATGGTTTGGTATTAGTGAAGGAGTATGCCAGGGTTGTGTAATTTTTCTGTGATTGTTCAATGAATATATGGAAGAGTTCTGTGATGCTGCAGTATTTAGTGGGAAAGATTTTGTAAATGGATGGGAGTTGTCTCTTTTAGGATATCTTTTTTTCTTTTTCTTCTATTTGCTACCCGATTTTGTTCAGGCTGATGATATCTCCAAACAAGTATCACTTATTATTGCTATTACTACACTTTACAGTTTTAGGTATGCATTTAAGTATGAATACAGCTATATTATAATCATAGAACATAATGCTTTTAAGTCTTTTGGATAACAAAAAGTTTGCTTAAATTTTTGCTAAAATCCATACAAATCATATTTATACACAGAACAGAAAACACGGAGTACTCTACAAGCCATACATGCACATTTTTAAAATCATTACAAACATCTCACTATAAATGCATTGCTTGCTTTCAGCACATCTTTTCCATAGACAGTCTAATCACTCTTTTTATCTGATTATGCCTACCTTTGTTGTTTCCCACTCCAAAAAACTTAAAACCATAGGACCTAATATAATGATGTGTTATACAGTATGCTCTAAAGAAACTTCAGAAAAGGTTCTTGACACTGAACATGTCACTATTAACAAGTCTTGTTCATAGAAAATCTATAAATAAAGTAGAAAATTTACTGGAATTTTGATAATTTGGTTGGCACATCAAAATGATCAACGCAATCAAAATATTGTTACGAATAAACTCACCCTTGCAGATACAGCAAGGTGAGCACGAAGTTTGGAAAGCTCGTGTTCCAAATGTCTTCTCTGTTTCTTTCTGCGCTCAAGCTCTACTGGTCCTTCATTTGCTCCATGAGACTTGGAGTGAAGATTAACAAGGGTGCGCTCCAGCATCTCCTATAATGGAGAGTTGATAAGCTTAAAAGATCTATTTTTAACAATACTAATGGCCAAAAAGATATGCCCACTATTTCCTACAAAAACATTTTAGCTAATTTTGAATTTAAAAACTTTGCAGAACTCCTACAACTGTGCTATGTTCTAGATAATCTTGGAACGACCCAAATATGTAGTATTGATATTAGAATAACGCATATATCTTTTTAGCCAATCAGTAATTATCAAAGTCTTTCTACATTCTGGGTACTGAAACTTCTGTATCAAACGATGCTGATATCTTGCAACTTAAATGCACAAAAAATGCAAGGCCAATACTATATGGAAGGCAAAGCTAGGGGTCCTGTTTCATTGTATTTAACAACTTCTACAAAATTACCAATGTCTTGTTTGTTCTATTCTTTTTGTATAGAATAATAATGCTTAAGAAATATATGAAGCTTATAATAAGTTTTTCTTAAACATGTGCATTAAAAGCCTTAATCAAAGTAACACAAACTAAATAACATAGATGGACTACTATAAAAACATGCAAAAGTGTTATGGTAACTTTTTTTTTGATGTAGCATTGCAAAAGCTTTTACAAAGATGCGCAAAAAAGCACCAATCCATCATTAAGAACAAGCCAGGACTAAGCAATACTAACAATGCCACAGTGATGCAAAATAAATAAATTATATTAAGAAGCATTCAAAATGAAGTACAAGAACATTTTAATTAGTATCTTATTCAAGAGGTGAGTTACACATGCATTTAAAGACTTTTGGATTAAAGAAGTAAAATTATTACAAACACTATCTACCATAAAACACACAAACACATTCATACGTCTAATTAAGTATATATTATATATATACCACTTTTGGTAAAGCATGGCTCATAAAATCTTATAAAATGTATGCACAAACTAGTCAATACATAATTTGTTCTGATCCATAACATTAAGTTAATTATTTCACTTAGTACATGCAAAAATCTTTTGATTATAACTTATAAATGAATAATCAACACAGGCAATGGTTTTGATAAAATTTTAAGAATTACAATGTCAGTGAACAGGTAGGACTGCAGAGAATTCAGAAACATGGGATTCTCATAAGTTTAGGACTGAGCTTTATGAGCCAAGATTTACACGAGTTTCATAATACAGATTACACATTGTTTGACTATCAACTTGTTACATATAAATGAATGAACACTTTATGGTAAATTTTCTTAGTTAAGACCCTTCTGATGCCCCCATAACCAGCCCTTACATCTTAAACACAGGACTCATGTCACTTGTCAATGTAACAGGTGACATGGAAAGATACATTTGTAAGTTTTAACTCAAACCACCACTGAGAGTACTGTACTAGCTTGCTGTAACACACAAGAAAGAATCACAACTCAATCACTCTGGGAAAGCAAGAAATAGAAGAACTGTACAAAGACAGCCAATTATTGAGCTGAGAACTACCATAGGCAGATCAAAGGCTACACTGACCACCATCATCACAACAGGGTCAGCAGAGGTGGCTACCCCTGGTTCTGTTGTCAATCCATCATCTTGCTAAGTTGGCAATATGCCATTGTATTTGGCATACAATATCTTTTTGTCTTCCTAAAAGATTTTCATCACTTGGCTGTGCTTTGAGTTTTATTTCTTTGGGGGGCTGCTTTTGGGTTGTCCACTGAAGCTTTGTCCAAGGTATTCACTCCTATCCTTCAAGTTAACAGGGTTTTCATGCCTCACCTTACCTGCAGGTGAACCATTTTGGGCCATATCCAGAAGTTCACTTGGACACTTTCTTTGCTGATGTCCACTAAATTTCCTGTCCTTCCTGAGGAAAAGGTGTATGAAGATATAGACACAACAGGTACATATTTGGATGAGGATTTGGTTTCTCTCTCCTCTCTTCAGTTTTCTTTTGTGCCTTCTGCTCCTGGGTTGTTTCTTGAATGCTTTGTTTTTGTTGCCCCTTGCTTCCAGTTTCAAGTTGGGGAGCTTCATGCTCCCTTCCAGAAGTGGGATTTTGCTCTTTTGGTCCTAGGAGCGATTTCTTTGCTTAAACATTTTTCTTCCTTTCTAGGTAAACATGAGATGACTGGTCAGTTGGGCCTGGAGGTGCATCACTTATTGTGTCCAGTTGCAACCACTCACCATTTACCTCTGTGCAGAGAAATACTCTGTTTGTGGAGCTGGTGTCCTTGGTTCCTTGTTCAAGGGTCCTTCTGTCTCAGGTGGTCCACAATGTCATCATGTTTAGCCATATTGTGGTCTATCCTTGGGCCCATGATGTTCACAAGTTGGCAGTTGTCTGCAGTTTTTTCTAGTATGTCTTCTGCAAATATTTGGGCTCTTGGGTTTTGGCAGTCCAGCAGATGGCTGATTGCCACTTAGTGAATATTCTTGATCTGCACCAGGTTGTGTGGTTTTGAGGCGGTTATCTCGTTGCTAATTTTCCCTCTCATGGGGTTACTGTCTGAGGCTCTCCTCAGCCCCCTGGTGAGTACCCCTTATGTTTTTTTTCCATGGTGACATAGCACCATGGAGCCACCAATAGGAACACTCCCAGAAAACCAGTATTAAATGTAATGAAATGCCTCTTTCTGGTGGGTTCTTGGTGGCTCCTTGGGACCCCTTCCTTCCCAGTTCAAGTGCTTTGGTTTTCCATCTTCCAGACTAAATGACAGGTTTATGGCTAGAGGATGGAGGAGGAAGGTTCACACACAGGTAGAACTATTGATAGGCATGCTCCACGACCGGATGGTTCATTCATCCCAGGACTTCACTCTCTCATTTTCTGTCCTTCGTGTACCATGTAGTTTGTATGTTTTCGTTTGCCCATTTTTCTGGAGGAGTTTTCTTGGTTAGGGTGATCTTGGATCCCCTTATTCCTGTACCTCTTTAGAAGAAGCTAGGTTTTTGGATGTGGTTCCTGGTAGATTTACAATGACTCACAAGGGCCTGGCATGGATTGTATTGGGTGGTTCTTGCTAAGTAACAAGCACCAAGGAGACACTAAGAACCCCTCCAGAAAGAGGCCCTTCATTACATTCAACTGTTTTTTAATATAACTTTCTCATACTCTCTTAAAGTGTCCATATCTGGGGCAGCCTAATCTGCTACTTCACACCCATATTTAATAGATGGTGAACAGTCGTGATTTCCATGACTTTTTCTTTGTAGGCTGATACACCTTTCTTTTCACTGGTAAAGGCCACAATCAACCCTCAGTTGATCCTCGACCTGGTAGGAATAAATACAAACATCCTCTGTCCTATGCTATGGGTGATCACCAAACCCATGGTTTGTTAGGTGGCTTTAGGTCAGTCTTGGTTCATTTCTCTGGACCTCAAGGGAAAATAGTGGCATATACCAGTTCACCTAAGGTTCAAGGACTGGATGTGGGGATTCAGGTTGAGCTCACCTACTACAAGCAAGCTCTTCCTTTCAGGCTCAACTTGGTTCCGAGAACATTCAGCTGGCTTACTCACATGGTCTTTCGAGAGCTTCAGTTCTTGGAAATTATGTCTTAGGCAACTTTGAAGACTGTTGATCAAGGTTTCCAAATGTCACCTTTGCATACCAGATAGGGGACACAACATTACAGATGCTGGCCCATTTTAAGTTCGTAGTCAAACTATTTCTATGTAACTCCATGTCAGCATCTCACAATGGTTGAGTTTGGTTTGGAACACTAGATGTGCTTCCCTCTTCCTCTGATCACTATGCGTTGGCTTGCCTCTTATCTTCAACAGGTCGCTGGGAGGTGTTACTGTCTCACTGAGATCTCCAGCTCCTCATGGGCAACTTACTTTACATGCATTATGAATCTCGTGGCTCAAGGAATTAGGTGTCTTTCTGATTGGCAGCCTGTTACAGGTTCAGAGACTGCATGGTGTATGCCCCTGTTGCTCTACATGGTCTCCTTTGAAGGTTTCATTTTTTGGGTTCTGTGTATTAGTGGCCTCTTTCTCCACTGAGCTATTTGCAGGCACTTTTGTCATATTAATCCAGATCATTAATATCTTCAGCACTGAAGTGTGCTTGCATCATCTAAAGCTGGTGGTGCTAGATGGTGTTTCTGGGCATCTCTCTCCCTCCCTTCTCTCTGTCCGACTGAGGTAAAATGAGAAGTGGAAAAGACCTCCTCCATAAAATGGGAGGTGGAAAAGGACCAGATGTGGTACATATCAATAGGATGTCAAGTGTAACAAATGATCCTTTTTGAACAAATAAGAAGGTAATCGACTCTCATAACTATTGTGCTGAGAGTTATGCCACCAGGTGGCAGCCTATGATTTATGAACAGAAGTTTCCTGTGATAATTGGCAGTCTAATTAAGTAGTATTGCTTTTAATTCTTGCTTTCAGTTGATGTTCAAATCATAATTTTTTAATTTTGCAGCATAACAAGCTCATACTGTACCCATTTTGGTGGCTTGAGTTTGACTCGCCATGTTTTCCCTTCCCTCCCTTACAACAGGACCTTGTAAAGATACATAATGATTAAATAGCTTTCGTGTGACACGAGTCCTGAGTGGACCATACAGGAGCTGGCAGTGGAAGGATTCAAAGGTCTTATTTAGAAAAAGAACATTTCACTTCAGACAACATATTTTGTGGAAGAGTTTAAATTAATATTTAGTTTTACAGTCCCTTAACAGTTTAATATTCCTGAATTCATTGAAAATCCAATTTATATAATGAAAAATAAATATAATTAGGCATTGTCAAAACACAAGATTTCAAAGGTACTCATTATCCATTGCAAAATTGTTTAGTTTTGCATGAATCACTCTGGGATTCAAGGAGATTTTAAATATGACCTTGGAACAAATGAAATGTTATTACCCACAATACTTTGGCTTGCATCATTTTATATATATAATAAAAATACTTGCAGGCATACAAACATACATACATACAGAAACATTAGAAACTAAAAATTCAGTCTTAGAGTAGTTAACAAATGGAATGTATTAGGCAGTGATGAGGTGGAGGCTGACTCCATATACAGTTTCAAATGTAGAGTGAATAGAGCCCAATAGGCACAAGAATCTGTACACCAGTTAATTGGTAGTTGAGAGGCAGGACTAAAGAGCCAAAGCTCAACCCCTGCAAGCACAACTTGGTAAGTACATGAACAAGTGTTCAATGTTAATAACAAGAACAAGTCCTTTTGTGAGTTTTCAAACTGTGAGGGAAAATTTGGACCAACGTGGCATCAATGGTACTACTGTATTGGCAATAATATTTTCTAAATGTTTTAAAAGTTTGTTGCCTTTTATAGTAAATATCTGTAAATATTACTTAAATACTAGTTATATATTTATAGATGATCTACTGTTCTTAAATCGTACTAAAAATAGTAAATTACAAGAATATAGAAATAAGAATTTTTCTGTGCTGGTCCAGTACTAATGACAGGGATACATCCTGGCCATGTCTTTGTGTCTATCATAGCACATTGACCTCCCATGAATAAAAGTTACTTTGCAGTGAGAGTACTCAAAGTAAAGTTGGTAAGGGTTAGAGGAAATTACTTACCATGGACAAGAAGGAGTATGTATTAGAGAAAAGTGGTTATGGCTGTTTTGGCACTAGCACTATGTATGATATTAACCCTTATATGGCTCAGCTAATTAAAAGTCCTACATTGTTGTGTGCATGTTATAAAATAGCTTACAAAAAAAAAAGACTCACATATGATTCAAGTATTGTACAGGCAAGAAAAATGCAGCAGTGAATGTAATGAGCCTAGGTGGCTCCCTGAAGCTATCTTGCTGAGAATGCTCCATGCAAATGGGTCACATTTGATGTTCATTTTGCCACTACAGTATCTCTCTCTCTTTGTCACCTTTATTCAGTTTTGGTCAGGGCTGTCCTGTCCATTTTGTCTTGGTTGTTCCTTGATCAGCATCATATACCTGATACTGCTGCCTCTTAAGGCTCGGTGCTGGGTAGAGCAGCTGTTGTTTGTGTTCAGCTTCGACTCTTCATCAGTGCAGTTCTGCAAGTTGTCTCCTGCATTTTTCATCTCTGACCAGCTCACGTTCCTCCTGAGTCATCTTAGTGTCGTCTCTTGGTTGGGTTTTGGTTGTCTCTCCTCACCTTGATTTACGGTGTTCCCTGCAGCTCATAATAACTTTCTCAAATCTGTGTTTCTGTTAGCTCTTGCCTGTGGCAGTAGGGTTGAGCATTTTTCTGGAGGAGTGGAGTTTTGCTCCTTTGGCCCTGGTAGGCAGTATGTTCATTTGTAGCCTACTCGTTATTTTCTGGTGAAGAATAAGTCACTAGGTTTCAGAGGGGTCTGTTAGTTGGCGTGGTTTGGCTGGGGGTGTATCACTTGTTGTCTCTAGTGGGGACTCTTCACCGCTATCTGTAGATCACTGCCTTGTGGACATCTTGTTGGCTGTCCCTGTTTCCTTAGTCCCCTGTTCAAAGCTTGTATTTCCCAGGTTGTCTGCAGTGTCATCAAAACTAGCCAGCCTGTGGTCTACCCTTGGGTCCATGATGTCCCCAAGCATGCAGCAGTGATTGCAGTCTTCTCGAACATGTCCTGGGCTGATATTCGGGATCATGGGTTTTGGCAGTCTAACAGGTATTTGGCCTGGCCAAATACCAGGCCACCAAAACAGGGTTCTGGTGGCCTGGTATTTGATTAAAATTCCTGGTCCGTTCAGTCAGTCATGTGATGATTTGGGCCATGCCTTCTGCCCTGGATTCTCGTCTTCTTCCTAATGCATACCGCTTTTCCTCCTCCCCTGGTAAGTTCCATTTGTGTTCTCTGTGGTTAGCTTCAGGAAGCACTGGGGGGCTCCCCCTCGAAACCCAGCACTGTGTGCAGTGAAACACGTTTTCTTAGATGAGCCCCTGTGGCTCCCTGAGTCACTCATTTCCTATCAGGCTAGACAGTTCATTGCTGGGCTGTTCATCAGCTCCATATTGACAAAGGAAGATGGCTGCATGCATAAGCTGGCCTGCTTGGGGGTGGCATTCAGTACTACAAGTTTTATACTAATTTTGAATGTTTTTCTTGTTTTGTATGAATCATTTGCAGAGTTGTTTAGTAGTCTTGAGGCTCAGTCTTTGTTAACCCTCCAGTTGTCTGTAAAGTTTCACTAACTTTCTGGATGCTTTTCTGGATTGTGAGTGATGAATTGTCACTCACTCTCTGTGCCTCTATGGGAAGAGGGGCCCATGGTTTGGCTCTGGTCCCTGGTAGGCCAAACAGAACTCCTGTATCGGATGTGACGCATTTGCATGAAGCAATTCCAGCGAGATAGCTTCAGGAAGCCCAGAAATATGACAACTTAGATGAGTCAGTTTTAATGTGCTTTATGTAAGAACACAGTATTGAAATGGGTTTTGCCAGTGAGCAAATACAAATTTCAGCAGAAATATGCTCATAACTTGTACCGTGTTGGAACACACACACACACACATACATGTGCAGCTATATATTACATGGTTCTACAACAATCATACACCTATAGTTCCAAGATCATTTAAATAAACTTTATGCACATATCAAACAGGGTTGCTGTTAGTAAAAATACGGCTTGAAAGTTTTCTAAAAATCTGCGTCTTTGAACCTTTAATAATGCATAATGTTTACTTACCTATTAAAAATTTAAGTAAATAAAACATCATACATATATTATCTAAGGTTAAAGACAGCATTAAGGTTAAAGACACTTAAATACTGATGCAGAAATTTTGAGGTAAAGTCATCATGCTAGCTACCAATAGCATGAGGAATTCAGTGTTTTGGACAATACACCACTTTAAGGATATTTCAACAAAGCTTCCTTCTTTTATTATACATTTCCAAAGTTACCATCTTGAAAATCCTTGAAGTGCCTGCACTGCCCTATAACCTCCCATTTAACGAACACGAAGTACCAAAAAGGACCCAGAATCTAACAAATATAATCTTCTGATACCCAAAAGAGGAATAGTTAAAGGTTCTGTCAATCTAGAAATGAAGGATATACAGCATTCGAACCTTCTCTCTCTGCAAGCTCTGAATGGTCAGTGATTCTTGATGTAGGTTCTTGTCCAACTTATACAATTGCATCACTTTTCCCTGCAATTTTAATGTTACTGTATGATATTATTCTTGATATTCAAATGATGTAGCAAATAAAATAACCTGTTTTTTAATGAAACTCTCCTGATTGAATTACAACATACATACACAACATAATGATTGTTTGTAAAACTTTCTGAAAATTATGATACAGAACTACTGTACTAAACTGATACAAATAAAACATTTACAGCAACTAAATATTCAACTTACTGTATACACTCAAATCTCCCAAATGTAATCTCAATTACAGCAAGCATTTCTACAGACAATGTACACCTGCTTTAAAGTTATTTGTAAGGAAAATTATTGTAACGCTCTTATCATATGGTTCTCTAACAGCATTACTGAACTGTATAAATATATTTAATGAAACTATAATTTATAACAAAATTCAGTTATCTATCATGTACAGTATTTCTAGTGCCAATAATTTTCAGGAAAAATGAAAGAATTTGCATCCCTACTATAAGAAAACAAAACTTAGAAAAGGTGATAAAATAAAAAAATTGAACGGTGCAATTCTGCACCAGATGTTGACACATACATACAAAGTCTTCATTAACTTTGATCAATCTTATCCCTGAGATTATATTATGAGATTTGATAGCATATGCAGCAACAACAGCAGCCATTTATATGTGTCAAGCAAGAATCACAACGGTTCCTCTACACCTACCTCCAGGTCAGCTTGATCTGCTGCTGCTAATTCATACTCTTGTAGCTGTAAATCTTCTGCTACTATTCTCCTCTCCTGTATTCTCCTAGAGAATTGAAGTGAATCATAGCCATTTGCCTGTCAAGACAATCAAATATTTAGTAAGCAACATCAGTTGAAATCACAATAATAATGCTAAAAGGCATAGTAAAAATTTAATAAGGTTAATCAACAGAGGTATCTTGGCCACCTACTACAAAATCTGCATATCTCAATACACAAAATTTCATGAAAAAAAATACATAGGTAAAAACTCCAAATAATTAAAAACACTAGAAAAGGCACTTGGTGGTGGTGCCTGGATCTGTCTGTCCTCCACTACTTTCCCCCACCATCTCACCTCCTCTACCCCCTTCTACAGTTTTACTAATCTATATCTATAAGAGTGAGTGAGTCTATCCAAAGTTGATGACCAGATGCTTGGAGCTAGCCTCACCTAAATTTGCAGGAAGGAATGGTCTAGGGTATGGGATGGACATAGGCTGGTCAGGGTAAGTCTAAGTTAAATGCTTCAAGCAATATTAGCAACTATACACACTCCCAGGCGATTTTTATAGCATTAAAGTATGAAATATAAGGTGCGATTCCCATGGAGTTTTTAATGATTGTAAGATACGCAGTATTTTAAGAGAGTACTGCACTGTACAGTTGTTTCAGTGCTTCTTAATAATAAATTGTCTAAGAATTGGGGAAGAGGAGTGGGAAGTAGGCAGGGAAGAGAGGAAGCAAGCGAGGTTGAAAGGGAGAGGATGATGAGAGGGATGATGGGGGAAGAAGAGAAAAGAAAAGAGAAAAAGGAAAAAAGGAAAAAAGAGAAGAAAAGAAAATTAAAAATAGGGAGATGAAAATAAAATAAAGTCTGAGAGACTCAAAATCTGAGAGTTTAAAAAGGTAGAGGCATGGTAATGGGGGTGTTATCTTAAATTGTATAAAGGCATGATTTAATGAAAGAAAACAGAGATAGTATAAATGGAATTAAGTTATCTTAAATAGTATAAAGGCATGATTTAATGAAAGAAAACAGAGATAGTATAAATGGAATTAATTAAGCCAATTTGGGAAACTGCTATAAGTGGAGTGCCCATGGCCTGACCTGGAACCATTAATTTTACCTTACAGTACTGTACAGCATTTTTCAATACAGTACTTGTGACCTGAAAAACAATTATTCTACAGGAATAAAAGTAATAAATATGTTATATTACATTTATTATAAATGATTCTTAAAAATGGCATAAATTATATACAGTACACCTAACATACCGGATAGTATGAGCGAGATCTCCTTGGGTCCTGTTGAGCAATAAGTCTGGAGTCTCCTCCTCGATACAGGGATCCAAGTTTGACCATGTTGTCCACAAGGTTGATGAGTGGTTTACCCATTTCATACTGCTTAGGTATAATTATTTGTTAGAAACAAGGTACAAGTAAACAATTAGTGAAATATAGCTTTAGTTACAATGTAACACCATAAAGGTGTTTAGTTTTATTTTACATACAAGAGTCAGTTATACATGATATTTGAGGCACCAGACTGTCTGTCTTTAAGTCACACAGTAAGAAGTCACACCTATAGAAGTTAATGACCACAAGTTGACAAGTGGTCAGGTAGTGTGAATTGACATTGCTTTCTTCTAAGCTGATAATTGCAGACGGTTGGTGGTGTCTTTCCATCAAACAAGCCGCTGTTCAGGCGTGGTTTCTTGAGATTATCTGAGATGATTTCAGGGCTTTAGTGTCCCCGCGGCCTGGTCTTCGACCAGGCCTCCACCCCCAGGAAGCAGCCCGTGACAGCTGACTAACACCCAGGTACCTATTTTACTGCTAGGTAACAGAGGCATAGGGCGAAAGAAACTTTAACCATTGAAACGAGAAACCATTGTTCCTCGCCGGCGCCCGGGATCAAACCCAGGATCACAAGTCCAGCGTGCTGTCCGCTCGGCCGACCGGTGGTAGGTAGAGAGCCTAAGGCTATCTTACTAGTAGGCAGAGCTTAACTCCCGGTTCCCCCATAAATACCCAGGGAACTGTACATTCGAAAAATCAGACACAGAGAGGATTGAAGATTGAGCAGGAGCGAGTAGATCGAGGCTCCAGCCACAAGACTAGCCTCCCCAGGCCAGAAGGGGGGACTGCCAGTCAACTGTAGCCCCCCCCCCCTCTCTACCCAACTTGGATTCAGAGACTTGGTGAGTTGAACTTTAAGGTGACAAATTTGGTGTGTTTACAACTTAAGGTGTTATATGATTTTCAGGTGCAGTTAGCTGTAGTGTCCTCAAATTCCTGTGTGGTGACTCCACCTTGTATATTATTGTTGTCATTTAACATCCAAAGATATGAATGAATTATGAATGTGAGTGAAGATCTCATGTTAAAGATTTAATAGATTAACTTATGCTTTTAGATTGCCTTTAATTTTGTTCCCTAAAAGTGTGGTAGCTAAAAGAAAAAAACCCTTTGTTCCCTAAAACTTCTTATTTTGAAAGCTAGAGTGGATAGCCCTCTGAGGTTACTGACTTAAAGATTCTTGCATGTACAAGTACATGATTACAGTTGATACATGATAAAATTTGATAACAGCTTAAAGTACAGACAAGTTCCATTCCTTGTCTTATACAGTACTTAACTAACTTGAATGGATGGTGGCAGCAACTTTCATCCTTCATCCTTTTACTCTTCAACCTTTCTATCTTACCCTATTCAAGCCCCTCTTACTTTCTACTCTTCTAATCTCCTCCTTGAGCTCAGTCTCGCCTTCTCATGCTAAACTTTCCCTTTCCTGACCCTACTTCTTCCTCACACCTCTCTACCTCCCCCACCCTCTGCCCTACACCATATTTTTTTATTTCTTTCCATTTCATTTCCGTTACGTTACAATGGTGGCAGCGGTGGGTTCATTCCTTCCACATTCCTTTAGCAATAAAAAGACCATCCCATGTTTTTAAAAATTGTCCAAAAGATGTACCATACTGTGCTGTAGTTTGAATTTGTTTAAGAGCTAAAAGAATATTTTGACAAAAGTTTACTGACTAATTCATATTTGTGCACAAATTAATGGCCTTCCCAAATAGAGATGATTACACTGAATATGATATGTCATCAATTTTGTGTGTGAATGTTAAACGAAAAATATGAAAGTGAAGATGGAAATGGTATTAAATTTGTCTAGGAAGGCCCAATAAGTGGTGGCACTGTACATATGCACTGGTATCCACTACGCCTTAGGATCATGTCTGGTTTCTGTGAGCCACACTTACCTAGTGAGAGCCATAACCAGAATTTGGCTCTCTGCAAGATGCAAGAGAAGCATGTGAATCAGAGATCAATCCAAAACTGCCAAAAATTAACACAAAAGTCAGATACTATATCACCAAAAATACTTGTTTGAAAGACAGAAATTAAAATACAAAAATTGAAAGTTGTGTATCATCTAACATATCAATCACATTTTAAAATAAATGACATGGGGCAAAGATATACGTCACTGGCAGAAAACCTAGTAAATTGGGTCAACTTTCAAGCACAATGCCCCATGCCAAGTGCTTGACAGGCTTGTACAACTGGGCTAGAAAAAGTCTAAGGCTGACAAATCCCCCCAAAATTAATACATAAGTACAGTATCTTCTACTGCCTTAGGTGCAACAACAGGGCGGAAGTCCTTCCATAGTACTGATATCTCCCTACTTCAGTACACACCCATCCTCCCCAGGTGAAGGGGGATTGTTTGGAACATCGTCTTCATGCGAGGATCAAGAGAAGCCAGCGGCAAGAATACCATCAGCCACTAGCCACACTATATCACTGATGTTATCCCTATAGCCAGCAGCACTACAAATCAGGTAATCATCTATCCCACCTGCTGGTATGGACTAGCTGAGCAAAAATGGGTTACAACAGTAGAAATAGGATGAATACCTACAATTAGTCCACGCAAGGCAGATTCTTGAAGACATGTCTTGAAGAGATGTGAACACATCTTAAATACCAACCACCACCCATCAGAAACTCGAGTAATTTACCTATCCCACTGCTCTGCTCTCACTTTTCATGGAGACCCTGTACACACTAGCCATGATCCTTAACCCAATGGACGTAAATGATACTGCTGATCATTTGAATCCATTCGAGATGCCAGTATTCACCTTGCCCAAACAAAATCTATTGGTGGTGACCTAAGAGTTACTGGAAGAAAGGAAAATGGTGGAAGGTATTCACAAGTTCACGGCAGTTTAAGAGAACCCAACCAAATAATGATGTTCCCCCCCCCCTGTACCACCTTCCCCAAATCACAAGATGTCACAACCAATGAATGTAAGGATTGAGCCTTTCCATTAATGTACTTGGAGTATGGTAACGTGAATGGTTAAACAAATTGTACCTGCTTGTCTAGGTCGTGGAGGTGGTGGTTGAGGGTCGCGAGACGCCGAAGATGTTCCTCGCGATGCTCCCCATCCAGTTGTGCCAGACGAGCCTAAGATAAGTGTGCAAGTCTAAATGACTACTGTGGTGGCAAAGGGCATTATACTGCATTTATTGTTAGCTCTCCAGTTGTCGCATTTGTACAATATCCAAAGATATGATGACTCCAGGTACATTGTGTCTTATAATCTAGTAAAGTGATGATTCATCCTATAACTCAATTCTCTCCTACAATGACTTATGTATTGTAGTGTCATCATAAGGTCACACAGACTCTGCTTTGTTTTGAACTTTAAGTTAATAACTTGGAGTTATAATTTTATCACAGTCTTTATGAGCAATAATATGTATCTTGACTTTATTTTGTTTTTTAAGGAGTCCGCCAACCTTGAATGAATTAAATGTTGATAAATTAATGAATAACTGCAATAATACCATAGTTGCTATTGATAATGAAGCCCCTAAAGTGTGGCAAAGACAAATACATGGTAACAGTTCTTTCACATGCACTGATAATTAATTTGTACTTCGAGGTAATTATTTTGACTTAACACTGCTCTAATTCAGCTGACGTTCATTTCTAAAGATTCTTCGGTCTTGGTTGGTTATATATATATTATATATAACATGTTATGATGTTTTCCTTAACATCAGTACCAGAGCTCTCACTCATTCTCACAAGTCGAGCCTGGCCTTGGGCCGGGCTTGGGGAGTAGAAGAACTCCCAGAACCCCATCAACCAGGTATCACTCAAGATCTTGAAGACTACAATGCTTCACCCCCTGCATGGTGGCTCCCTCCAGCCTGCCTCTGCTTGCCGTCGCTATGAGAAAGAGGATGTGACTCTGGAAATGACTCACTATGAACAGTTTAACGACTACTGTACTATTTACAGCTAGTTTAATTAGATTTTAGATAAAATTAAGTCTACAATTGTGAAATCCGAAGATTTGCATATCCGTACTACATAGAATTGCTACATAGAAGATAACATTAACAAACTCATAGTAACACAATCTCACATGCAAACTGGGCAAATTAAATGTATGTGATTGTTGGCATCATGCACTACAACGGTGTAAATTATGCAGATACACGACACAAAGATGGCATGCAAATTAAAATAAATAAGCCAAACTGAAGCAAAACCGTGATGATATGCCAAATTAAGAATTACCGTCTGCGAAAGAAAAGCATTAACAATTAGGACATGCAATCTACTGAACCCAGCACATAAAAAAGCAAAGCATTAAAATAAAATAAAAAATAAAAAGGCAATTTTTTACACGTTTCTAGCATTAAAATAAAATTTAGTCTTCCAGTGGTGAAACTACGCCGACGCCTACCAGCCGAGTCACATAGTGAGGTTAGACCGCAAGAAACATCAGCATCAGTGATTAGCAGTGCCCTGAGTGTCGATTAGTCGGGTTAATCTGCAGTTTGTTCCCCCAGGGATTAAAGCACATACACGCCCCGGGGGGTGGGGGGGAAAGAGGGTGTGGACATACACACTGATGGTTTGTGGCATGGGCGGCAGCGTGGGCGTACCTGGGAGTCTCTCTCAAGGCGCGCGTGGTGTCTGGCGGCCTGGAGCGCCGAGTGATGTCTGCGAAGCTGGATTAGCAGTAATACCAATTCCTCGTGAGTCTTGCCCAACAGCTCTCCCGCGCTCACCCCCTGCAGCCCCCGCACCTCCACGCTCTCTTGCGCCCCCACTGGCGGTGCTGCTGGTGGCTGCTGCTGTTGGTGGTGGAGGTGGTGGTGATGGTGGTGGTGGAGGTGGTGGTAGTACGGGACGGTGTTAGTAGTGGTGGTGGAGGAAGAGAAGGTGTGCTGTGGCGTGGTGTGGAGGGAGGCCGGACGCTCCCCGCCACCCGCTCCACCGTTCAGGGCACGTCGAGCCCTACGCTGCACAAGGGGGGGACCACAACCCGTCAATCCATGCACACATACAAACACACGCAAAACTTGGTAACATATATATCTCATTCACATACGCCATTTGACTAGAATCAGCAGCACAAACAACGCACGCTCAAGACAAAATTATGCAAGAGCACCTTCAATTCCGCAAATCAAACACACCATCCATAGAGAATCTTCCACTGGCACGCAATTGTCTAATCAATATAAGACATTCACGTATACAAATCGTTTATTTTCTACCAATCCATTAACTCGTTTTTTTCGACATGCATTTATAGGGTAGATTATCACACTATTCCTTCTCGTGCATGTTAATTATCTGGGGATGTTGAATGTGGGGCAAGCAAGCCACTATCACCAAAGAATTCTATCATCCATTACTCATAACTATGTATGAAGACATTCTTCAAAAATTATAGTACCAAGAGCTACTATTAATGGAAGTACAACATATGGATTGTTGTACCTTCCCCCAAAAAATCACGTTTTGTACTACTGAAATTCGAAAGGGCATACCAAAACTGAAACAGGCTAACCATAAACCTAATCTGTCCTAGGTATAAATTAGCAATTCTAGACCTAATTTATTATATATATATATATATATATATATATATATATATATATATATATATATATATATATATGTCGTACCTAGTAGCCAGAACTCACTTCTCAGCCTACTATGCAAGGCCCGATTTGCCTAATAAGCCAAGTTTTCATGAATTAATTGTTTTTCGACTACCTAACCTACCTAACCTAACCTAACCTAACTTTTTCGGCTACCTAACCTAACCTAACCTATAAAGATAGGTTAGGTTAGGTAGGGTTGGTTAGGTTCGGTCATATATCTACGTTAATTTTAACTCCAATAAAAATAAATTGACCTCATACATATTGAAATGGGTAGCTTTATCATTTCATAAGAAAAAAATTAGAGAAAATATATTAATTCAGGAAAATTTGGCTTATTAGGCAAATCGGGCCTTGCATAGTAGGCTGAGAAGTGAGTTCTGGCTACTAGGTACGACTTATATATATATATATATATATATATATATATATATATATATATATATATATATATATATACATATATATATATTAGTATATTTTGGTAGCAGTCTTTCCTGTAGACATATATTATTAAATATGACCGAAAAAGTAAGATTAATAATTCTAACACGAATTTTCTCAATCTTTCGTACATTTCTTTTCACTGTTGGAGGTAAATCAAAGGTCCTAGTCAACCTCCTAGTTACCTCCTAGTCAGGAGGTAAGGCAGGTCCTAGTCAACAACGGCTTCTCCAATGGTTTTGTCGAAGACATCATAAGAAGGAAAGTGAAACGCCATGCAACCTCTGAAGAGACAACTAACACAACACCTATACCCCCTATTAGACTATTTTACAGGAACTTCTTTTCCACAGCTCATAAAACGGAGGAAAGGGTCCTGAAAGATATTGTTAATAGAAACGTTATCCCTACAGACAAAAATCAGAGGATACAACTGACGATTTACTATAAAACCAGAAAAACGGCCAGCCTACTCATGAGAAACTCTCCAGACACAAAACAGAACGCTTTAAAAGAGACTAACGTCGTCTATGCCTTCAATTGCCCTCTTGGGGACTGTAAGCTCCAAAAAACCCAGTATATAGGCAAGACAACAACATCTCTTTCTAGGCGTTTAACGATGCATAAGCAACAGGGCTCCATTAAGGAACATATAATCTCTTCCCACAACCAAACCATCGCCAGAGAAATCTTAGTAAACAACACAGAAACCATCGATAGATACAGCGATAGCAGGCGGCTTGACGTTTGCGAGGCACTACACATCAAGAAGTCAACACCAGCAATCAACAGCCAATTAATGCACAACTATATTCTACCCACCTCAAGACTCCGCTCCAATATAGAAGCATCAAGAAATATGGACCAATAGGCTTTCTACAAACACTTCTATTCAATACCCATTGTTTCGTGTTCTGTCTTGTGTTGATGAAATTAATACCCTATTAATGCCACCTCTTGTTCTGTCTTGTGTTGATGAAATTAATACCCTATTAATGCCACCTCACCCCATCCACCTCACTCAAATGTAGATATAAAATCGGAGATGCGTAAGTTCTATTCAGTTGTGTATTTGTAAACTAAAGTCTTTGAAAATGTAATAAGTTTTACGAAACGCGCTCGTGTCGCGTCAGACTAGAAATAAAAATGAATTTTGGAGAATTGATTTTTGATTTACCTCCAACAGTGAAAAGAAATGTACGAAAGATTGAGAAAATTCGTGTTAGAATTATTAATCTTACTTTTTCGGTCATATTTAATAATATATATATATATATATATATATATATATATATATATATATATATATATATATATATATATATATATATATATATATATATATGAGAGTCTTTGGTGCTTGTAATTAGTAATGATAGATATAGATGAGAGGGTTTGGTTGTCGGGGTTTGAATGAGGGAGGGAGATGTGGGTGAGAAATGAGGTAATATTATGGGTGTGTCGTTGGTGATGAGGTTGGAGGGATGGTTATGGTAGGGCAGACTAGTGGTAGGGGGGGGGGGGGTCTTTGTGGGAAGACATATCTTTCCCCATCTCTCTTATGATGAAACTCTATGGACTCACCCATGCACGTTTGACATTGTAAATACTGTATCTCAATAGAATAATAACAATAACAGCTGGCATTGGAATACGCTAACCAAAACAAAGGTACTGTTAGTTTGTATGATCATATGTATATTAAATTTTAAACGAATATAACGAGTCATTCTCTATCTATAAATAAACAAAACAATAATGAAAGGAACCCTAATTTGTTATGCTACTGGTACACAGCTTGGGTACAACAGCAGCCGTGTATGTCAATACGGTGAAGCGTTCTCCAGATGTCGAATGGAAATAAAGAGACAGAAAAACGTGAAAAACCTACAATATATTCACACACACACTTCCTGACACACTCTCTAGGCCACAAGCCCCTCACATACGAGAATTACACCATTCACATGCGCCCCGACAAGCATGCGCACGCGTCTCGGTCCTACATTAAACCATGCAGACGTGAGCTCTTATTCATTGTGGCACTCAATACATGCACAAGCTCGCGCACGCACTCAAGGGCACACATTTTAAAACACGCACACATCCAAGAATGCGCTCTCCTGTGCACGTCCGCGTGTGTACACATAATCAGGTTCCTTCCAAGAGCAGTGTGGAATTTAGTGTCAGTTGATGTTAGAACCCATTTAATTTTGAGAAAAATGATCCTATTAAAAAGAGAAAACTTTACAGGTAAAGACCCTTAGAGAATATTTACACTTTCTAATAATAATATATAATATGCAATAATAAACTGCCAACCACAACAGTTTCTGGAACTCTGACCACTAAATTCTAAAACCATGCTCTGGACATGCCGGCGTGAGGCACAGACAGCTCCGAGGGGTGCTCCTCAGAGTCCACATTCTGGGCGCTGGTTCTGCCCGCCATGCTCTATAACGTTATGCTTCATGCAGTATGGAAAATAGCTCCATTTAGTCTAGATAAAAATGTAGTTTCTCAAGCGCATGGGCCTAAGCCAAGACCTCATTGTACCTCTCTCTCTCTCTCTCGTGCGTTGGCGTTCTATCTGCCAAATATCAGAGTTAATGCCACTAATTCCATGTTTCACTATAACAGCCGAGGCAGCTAAGCTTTGGTTTAAAAGTATGTTTTTACGATGATGCAGCTAAATGCAAATATACTGCCAAGTTATCTAAATGCTTATACTGTTCAAAAGTATCTAAAGGCATTTTAAAATAATACAAAAAGGGCTTAATATCTTGCCAAAATGTATAAATATGCTCCAAGAAATGGAAAAAAAATTAGTAATGGGAGTAGCACAGGTAAGTACGCCCAGGAGGGATGTACACAAGGGTGTGTAGCATGTTTATCTGTGTGTATATATGCTCTTAACAAAGTACTTTAGTCTAGGACTATGTTCAGACCCACAATATACCTGCTGGCTGGTGAGTGAGGTAGCGTGGGGGCCTCCACCCTCCAGAGGCTGGTAGCAGCCCACGACCAAATAAAACAAGTCTCAGTTTGTCCGCTGCAGACAGTTCAGGATTCAACATTGGAGGGGGGGTTAAAAGTCATTTATTTGCAATGCCGTCTTGTACATTTGCAACTTGTGCAACATTGTTTTTTTATATTAGCAGGTTTTGTATCACAGCTTCTAGGTCTTGTTCATAGGCTCATAAGGTGGTTCAGCTCCTGATTCTCGCCTATAGTCTATAGAAATGTAAAAACCTAAGGAAAGCCTACACAGTTACAGGAGGACCTTGACTAACTCCAGGAGCGGTTAAACAAATGCTTGCTAGAATGCAATCCCAACAGTTATGATGTAATGAAGATAGGAAGGGGAGAAAGGGGATCAGAAGTTACACACAGAAATCACAATAGCGTGATGCATCAAATGAACAAATCCACAAGGGTCGTGACGAGGGTTCGAACCTACGTCCGAGAGGATCCCAGACGCTGCCTTAATCGACTGAGCTACGGCATGGTTAAAATCAGAATCACCTGTTGAGATCAGAAGGTATCAACAGGTCTACACTATAAGGGAAGGCAACTACAGAGAAGTCAGAGAAAAAGATTTGGGAGAGGTTATCATTTTAACATTATATCCAAAGGCATCACACAGAGGATAACATATGGGATGCTGGCAAACATTAGTACCTCGTTTCAAATCTAAATTAGGGAGTTTTCAAGGTAATCTACATAACCATTAAACCTATTCCAGAATATGTGGCACCATCCCGGAATCCGCAATTTGTGAAGCATAAAATCAGAATTGAAAATGTACAAAGTTAAAGAAAGTTACGCAAAGTAGACATCACAACCCTTAGAGACGAGAAGAAACAACTGGAGACATGATCGTAACATACAGGATACTGAGAGGAACTGACAAGGTTATCTTCTTGAGGTTATCTTGAGATGATTTCGGGGCTTTAGTGTCCCCGCGGCCCGGTCCTCGACCAGGCCTCCACCCCCAGGAAGCAGCCCGTGACAGCTGACTTACACCCAGGTACCTATTTTACTGCTAGGTAACAGGGGCATAGGGTGAAAGAAACTCTGCCCATTGTTTCACAATGTCTCTGTGTCTTTGTATTTGTGTATTTCACAAAGAGGTGGACAAAGCCTCTTTAAAATGAGAGAAATTAGGACGAGAGGATACACGTAGAAGCTGGAAAGAAGAAGTAAAACAAGATTCTGGTACCCGGTGCGGGCGGTCAACAAGTGGAATGCACCAGCACCAGAAGAAGTTGTGGAAGCCACCTCCCTCCACAACTGTAAAGCCAGAATCGACAATTCATTCAAACGTCAGAATAGTTCAATTAAAATGCAACACGTAAAACAAGGCTTGTGGACAGGGGTGCTAGACCGTCTAATAAAGAGCTAGACCTAGCTTCCCCACAGACCATTCCTTCCCACAGTCCCATCCCAAATCCTTATCCTAACCCCTTCCAAGTGCTATATAGTCGTAATGGCTTGGCGCTTTCCGCTCATAAATCCTTATCCTTCCCCATAGTCATTGATAGGTAAGTACTTATGGGTAAGGACCACTAGCTCCTTTCCCCCCCATATCCCTCCTCCCCCCCCCCATCCCACCCACCCCATTCTACCCCTCCAGCTGATCCTACTCCACCTACTCTCACATAACTACACCTTCAGAACATCTACCCTCCAATTCTCATTCGCCACCACTTAAAACACTAAGGAATGTTCGTCTCGCACCATCCAGTTACTCTCCAATTTAACCTCGCCGATCAACGCATCAGCCTGTACCGCCTGGGTCCCATCCATAAACTGACCCCGCCCCATAGCCTTTCAACTTCACCCTCACAGACTGCTGGGCCGGTATTCAGCTCTTCGACTCTCAGACAAGAGCCTTTTTTCCCAGCTACATTTACATGGAAGCTTGCAACATAACCACCCACATCTTCCCTTCTCACTTCCTTACTCTTGCTATCGTGCTATCTATGGTCGTATCATCCCTCCCACCACAAATAACCTCTCCCACTGTAGCCCTTCCCACCAGAATAATCTCATGAATTCAATGGTCAGCCAGGGAGTAACTCTCGCAAAATTTAATTACGTCGTCAAGGCAACCCCCAGCCGCTTCCTAGCAGACTCTTGTTTATAAAAGCCTTACCATTTTCTATGGACCCCATGTAGAGATTAAACAGTAATGGAGACTAAAATAAATCAGGGGGAACTATCAGGAGAAAGCGCCAGGCCATTACCACTTTATAGCACTTGCAAGGGATCAGGATATGGGGGGAAAAGGAATGGTGCCCCAACTACTTGGACGGTCGGGGGATTGAACGCCGACCTGCATGAGGCGAGACCGTCGCTCTACCGTCCATCCCCAATTGGTTGGGCAAAAGAAGGAGAGAGAGAATATGAATGAATTAGAAAAGCAGTAAAACACACTTTCATTTATTAGCAACTGCCTCAAATATTGGGGTAAAAACCATTCCCTGAGAACCAGGAAGTGAAGAATCGTGCAGCAATCAGTGAGGTTAAGCTAACACGATAGGCGGGAGAGGGAGGGGGGGTTAGCCCAATGGAAAAAACTCGGAAAGGGTGAAGGGAGGGAGGGGGGGTATAATGCTTATATCAGTGCTGCTGACTCGGAGTGTAAATAGACAGTGAGAGTTAATTGGGTAGATACTCCTTACAATTTTAGACTTAAGGAAGGGAGGAAAGATGTAAATGGAAGGAAGAGAGGCGCAAAGAGGAGAAAAATTATAGGGAAGCGAAGACTAGGCTGCGGTGGGTAGGGGCAGAATAGAATAGGTTTGTGGGAGGCCTGTGGGACGGAGAGAATGGGGGGGGAGGGGGGAGGTTGGCCATATGGGTGACCCAGAAGCTGAAACACAACCGAGATATATAAAATCTCATATTGCACGTAGTATAAAGGAATGTTGCAAATAAAGGATGCAACCCCCCCCCCCACCCCTTTGCAACAAAAACTGCTCTCCTGCATGGCGCCGACCAACATATGTTCAACAACCGATACGCCAAAACCATCCCTTGAGCGTGCTTATCCAACTTATCTAAACTACTTGTGCGAAAATGTCAAAAAATGCATGAACCACAAAGTAGTCAAATGCATAGCGCCAAAGAAAAATCAGCTAATTATGTACCCCGTCAAACATACGGCAATCTTAAAATACTATCACAAATGTCAATAGTACAATACCTTACCGCCTTTAATAAGTGAGCATTGTGTATGTGTGTGTGTTGTGTGCGTGTGTGTGTGTTGTGTGTGTGTGTGTGTGTGTGTGTGTGTTGTGTGCGTGTGTGTCTGTTGTGTGTGTGTGTGTTGTGTGCGTGTGTGTCTGTTGTGTGCGCGTTTGTGTGTGTGTGTTCGCCTAGTTGTATTTTGCGGGGGTTGAGCTTTGCTCTTTAGGGGCCAGATTCACGAAAGCACTTACGCAAATACTTACGAATGTGTACATCTTTCCTCAATCTTTGACGGCTTTGGTTACATTTATTAAACCGTTTACAAGCATGAAAACTTCCCAATTAACTGTTGTTATTGTTATAAACAGCCTCCTGGTGCTTCGGAGCTCATTACTTGTTTAATAATTGTAAACAAAGCCGCTAAAGATTGAGAAAAGATGTACAGGCTCTTAAGTACTTGCGTAAGTACTTTCGTGAATCTGGCCCTAGGTCCGCCTCTCAATTGTCAATCAACTGTTTACGAACTACTTTTTTTTCCACACCATACACACACAACCCAGGAAGCAGCCCGTGACAGCTGACTAACTCTCAGGTACCTATTTACTGCTAGGTAACAGGGGCATTCAGGGTGAAAGAAACTTTGCCCATTTGTTTCTGCCTGGTGCGGGAATCGAACCCGCGCCACAGAATTACGAGTTCTGCGCGCTATCCACCAGGCTACGAGGCCCCCCAGAGTGTGTGTGTGTGTGTGTGTGTGTGTGTGTGTGTGTGTGTGTCTTAACCAACTCATCCACTTAAATTTACGGTACCCAGTACTTATAACAAAGTTTATGCCGGAAACGTCGTGCGTATTAGATTATCGATGTGTATATGTATTTGTGTAATTGACTATATATATGTATATCGAATACAGGTGTATTTGCGGCGAGGCAGTGGCTGACAGGTACGGACGGCATGGCCTTCTCTACCAAAGGACAGGAGGATGACATGCAAGACACGGCGAAGTTAATTACATTATTAAGAGAAGCCTTACTACAGCCGGTTGTCCAGTAGAGAGAGAGCCCCGTTACCTAATGAGCCGCAACCCTGATGAGCTTGTATCGCCTAGACGGGATCACGGTGAACCCCTAGACAGTTGGTGTGGGACTACACTTGCATTTCAACTTTATCCAACACCTATGTTGACTTCAATGTTGCACAGCCAGGCAGGTGCTGCCAATCACCGGGTAACAGCTAAGTCGCGTAAATGCAGAGATCTTGATCACCACTACAATTTTGTCTCCATTGCCTCAGATACACTTGGTGCCTGGGGTAAAAGTAATGCTAGTTTTTTGAAGGAGCTGGGTTCCAAGCTAAATGAAATAACTAGAGACCCTAGAGCCGCCAGTTTCCTCTTTCAGCGCTTTAGTGTGGCGATCCAGAGAGGAAATGCTCACTGTATCCATGATTCCTGCCCGCCATCCGAGGAGCTGGAGGAGCTCTACAACCTGTAACAAGTAGCCTTGTACTTTGCATGTAACCAATGTTGTAACCCTTTTCGTGTAATGCAATTTTAAAATAAAGTGATATATATATATATATATATATATATATATATATATATATATGACAGTGTCAGACCATGGAGGAAAATTAAAACAGGAATTTCCTTAAGCATACATACATATGTATACATGTACATGTATACATACATATACATACATATGTGACTGTTTACATACATGTATAAATTATAATTTAAAATTATAGATAATGGGGAGGTTAGTAGATAAGCCCCAACATAAAAAGGCACATATGTTCGCCCCATTGGTCAAGGTGTTCTAGAGTGTAATTAAATATGAGTGGATAAATAGTGTAGCCTTCCAGTGTAGCCTATATATTTAATAACTCTTGTTTACTTGTGTTAAGTTTAAAGACATGCCCTAGTTTTATGAGTATTATTATTATATAGTAATTTCTAAGCTAATAATAGCTACATACTGAATTAACATGCTCTAAAAAATTTAATATCTACTACTTTTAAAATTCAGTGTGCATTACAAATAAAAACAAGCAAAATTCATTGCCAAAAAAAATTATTCCAAAAAAATCCAAGAAGCAACTATTTTGTAGAGTGGTATGTATCCCAGGAAGGTGTACCCCCAGAGCGAAACTACAGGTTCAAGCAATTGTCACACTTATGCCCCGATGCGCAATGCCCATAAGTATGCATATGCACCACAAATTCATACATGCCCATATAAACAACATTAAAGATTTAAAGAAATTCACCGAAAGCCTAATCATATATTCCCCTCCCCTCCCCCTCTCTCCACACACTACTTGTAACAACAACCTGAACGACACTTTCTAATGCTTTCAGATGAAACATTTGCCCACATTAAATAATTTTCACGTCTTGCTCTCTCACAGAAGAGATCTAGATACAAGTAAATAAAAAATCCCGGTCACTTACTTTAGATACCGTAAGCTCAGAGTCGGAAAACTGCTGCTGGTGGGTGGCGTTAGGTACGCGGCCATTGAGCGCCGGGTCGCGATGTCGCCCGTATGTACCGTATTCAGCGTTCTTGTAGTCAGGTTCAAGTTGAGGGTTCTTGTAATCCTGGTGGCCGTTCTGGAATTCCTGCTTGTTGATCTGGTAATCCTGCTGGTGGTTCTTGAAGTTGTGATAGTCCTGGAAATCGTAGTGACTGGGTCTATACGTGCCGTTCATCCCGCCGCGCTGGCTGTTAAGGGTATTGTATTCACTGTTTGGATTAACCTGTTGAGTCTGTTGGCTCTCCTGGTAATTTGGTGGTCGACTGTGAGCTGGCTTGTAATTATTAGGGTAGTTAATGTTATCCTCCGGGTAGCCATGAGGATAATTTTGGCTCCCGTGGTAGTTAGCATAAGGCCCATTGCTTTGGTAATTTTGACCAGGATATATTTGATATTTGTTGTGCAAGTCGTCGCTCTTGTAATGGTGGTATTGATTTTGTGAATGGGGATGAGGGTGGTGCTGATGATTCTGGTGATGGGCGTGTGGGTGATGCTGGAACTTGGGATGGGCGTGTGGGTGGGCGTGTGCTGATCCCTGAGGGCCAGAGGAGGTAGGGGCGTTGGGATCCGGTCGGCGAGGAAGACTTTCACCCACTTTAGCATCTGCAAGAGAAGAAAAGAACAGTTACAAAATGCAGACCATAACCAAGAAACAATAGATACATGTGTCAATTATACAATAAGCTTCCTATAATAACAACGATAGCAGCTTCAGCGGGACAGATTACAGGGTAATATTTCATTCATTTGGGCACTAGGAGCCTCAAACCACCGGGTAACAACATAATGTGGGATTGTTTGTTTCCAGCGTAGGTCAGACATGTATATGAATGAGTTTGGGTGGATATAAATATGAGCATCCTCGTGGGGGGATGGGGGCATTAGGCCTCCTGCAGATTCCCGTAGTATTATGGGAAGATTCCTGCAGATTCCCGTAGTATTACGTAGAAGACTCCTGCAGATTCCCGTAGTATTATGAATTCGTCTCCATCTTGAAAAACATAAATTAATAAATGAGTCGCAACATGGTTTTACAAATGGCCGTTCATGTTTAACAAATTTGCTAACTTTTTATTCCAGCATAGTTGAGGCAGTTGATAGTGGTAAGGATTGTGATGTTGTGTACCTTGACTTTAGCAAAGCTTTTGATACAGTGCCACATGAAAGACTAATTAAAAAAATAGAAGCTCATGGTATTGGGGGTGCTATATTAACTTGAATTAGGGCATGGCTATTCCAAAGGAAACAGAGAGTTAGTATAAATGGGTTTAAGTCAGAGTGGGATAATGTTGTTAGTGGAGTACCTCAGGGCTCTGTCCTGGGACCTCTGTTGTTTATAATATATATAAATGATTTAGATTCAGGTTTGAGTAGCAACATTTGCAAATTTGCCGATGATACGAAAATCGGTAGGGAAATTAATTCGGAGGACTCACTATCACTTCAAGTTGATCTAGATAGGGTTTTGAAATGGTCAAATGATTAGCAAATGCAGTTTAATGCTGTTAAATGTAAAGTTCTGAGGCTAGGTAATGATGATAGAGTTACAAGATACGAGCTAGATGGTGTTGAGATTGCGAAGTCGGATTGCGAAAGGGATCTGGGAGTTATGATTAGTAAGAATTTAAAACAAAAGGATCAATGCATGAATGTTCGTAATAAGGCGAATAGGACACTGGGATTTATTAATGGAAGCGTTAGTAACAAGACACCTGGTGTGGTTCTTAAGCTATATCTTGCTCTGGTTAGGCCCCATTTAGATTATGCAGTTCAGTTTTGGTCGCCGTATTATAGAATGGATATAAATTCACTTCAACGTGTCCAACGTAGGATGACTAAGTTAATTCCCCAAATTAGAAATCTTTCATATGAAGAAAGATTAACAAAGCTTAAGTTGCATTCACTGGAAAGGCGAAGAGTTAGGGGTGACATGATAGAGGTTTACAAGTGGATGAATGGACATAACAGGGGGGATATTAATAGGGTATTAAAAATATCAACACAAGACAGAACACGAAACAATGGGTATAAATTGGATAAGTTTAGATTTAGGAAAGACTTGGGTAAATACTGGTTCAGTAACAGGGTTGTTGATTTTTGGAACCAATTGCCGCGTAACGTGGTGGAGGTGGTGTCCCTCGATTGTTTCAAGCGTGGGTTGGACAAGTATATGAGTGGGATTGGGTGGTTATAGAATAGGAGCTGCCTCGTATGGGCCAATAGGCCTTCTGCAGTTACCTTTGTTCTTATGTTCTTGTTATGCTCTTATGTTTTGTAACCATAAAACAACGTGTATTCTTCCCAAACATTTTCTTGATTTAGTAAAAAAAATACTCTTGTTTTTATCCTAGACTTGGCGGCATCCGACATTGTTTACTATATCAAAACAACAAGATTTGTTTTGGATTATTCAACCACAATAAAAAAGAGAATATTTTATTTATGCACTCGTTAACTGTTAACTGTCTCAAACACTCCAAAGACGTAGTAGCTTTTTCCAGTGTATATTGTGCTGGTAAGAATGATGGCACGAGAGAGAATACGAGCAAGGAAACCACTACGTGGAAGAGAACCGGAAAGTCTTGGAACATTATACCATCAGAGAGGTGAGTAGCTACCAGTGGTGCGTGACGGGGACACTAAACAGGGGCAGCAGGGGGGAGGGACGCACCAAGAGGGGCTTACAACCAGGGTGTCCACAACAGGAGCACTGCCTCCCCCCCCCTCCCCCCGTATTATTGCCACATTAATTATTCATGCACCATTCCCGCCTTCACACTCCATATTATGTATACTGCGTCTCTACATTTTATAATCCTGTTCTTTTTTATTCAAATAACGATTCTGTCACGAATTTCCTATATTTCCTAAGCTTCTTTTAAATTGGGAAGGCAAAATTCAGTAAGAGCCATGAGGGGGGGGGATTCGAACCTATGCTTTGGGTACTCCACAATCCGCATAGATTCGAATCACCCTCATGACTCCTACTGGTTTTCCTTATTGATACATCACGTTAATGTGACTTCTTTGTGCACTGGGAAGGTGAGTGTCAAAATCAATTCCCCGAAGCTCATTTGACACCTTTAACAGGTATTGAGGTGTTTCGCTGAGTGGTGACATCTTCAGAATCAGAGGGGAAGTGAACAGAAAATAAAAAAACGGTGATGTTTAGTCCTGTTGAGGGAGGAGGTGTTCTCCCTGTGGTGAGACAGGGTAGACAGCTCCAGTTGACTGGAGCTGTGACCAGTTGACCAGTCCAAGACCAGGTGACCTGGTCGAGGACCGGGCCGCGGGAACGTTAAGCCCCGAAAACACCTGAAGGTAACCTCAAGGTAACCTACCCTCACAGTGGTTGGTTGTGACGGCTTATACAACCGGACGACCAACCATGTAGTATAATATTGCCCGTGTACAGCTGGAAATGTATATACGTTCCTCAACCAGAGTTGTCAGTAGTATATCGATTGCTTTTGATGTGAGAAAACATATATGAACACATACGGAATAAGGGTGAGAATAGCCTCAGCAATTTCAATTTACCCAAAGCCTCAACCAGAACAGATGCAGCAGTATCTACTACCACTACTATTTCAACTACTAATACAAGCTACTTCTTCTCTTATTACCATCACTACCACCACCAAACACTTATGGAGAACAGAGAAAATTTTGATTCATATAATATAAATGGTTTCATGATATTATACTTTTAATGAGATTCCAGAGCAAAAGTTAAAATATCTTTAAGCAAAAATCGACAAATGTATCTAGGTATAACGGCCTTAAAAATACTTGAGGTGAGCGAATATACGAGGCTATGATAACGTGCTTATTTCAAGACTATATATTAAAGGTTAATACCCCATTAAAGATTTGGTTTCAACGATTACAATTTTGCTAGAGTAATGTCGGGTTTGGAAAATATATTTGCCTTTGTTTATGTAGTTAAGTCTTAGTTATACCAGCTAAGTGTAGTGGCTCCAGCTGGGTGTCGTGGCTCCTGCTGGGTGTCGTGGCTCCTGCTGGGTGCAGTGGCTCCAGCTGGGTGTCGTGGCTCCTGCTGGGTGTCGTGGCTCCTGCTGGGTGTCGTGGCTCCTGCTGGGTGCAGTGGCTCCAGCTGAGCCGGTGGAAACAAAAGTAGACGGGGCCGGGGTGTCCGGCGTCTTTAAAGACGATGAGGAGTCTTGCCTGGGTCGCTCCAACACCCCCTCCACCACACTGCTCCAACACCCCCTCCACCACACTGCTCCAACACCCCTTCCACCACACTGCTCCAACACCCCCTCCACCACACTGCTCCACCACAGTGCTCCAACACCCCCTCTACCACTATACCCTTCAGCAGTCACCACAAACTACATCGAGGAGCAATACTAAACTCTCCGCCTGTTTCCCCAGCAGCCATTGAAGACCTGTTTGTAAACCGACTGGCAGGTCGAGCTCCAGGGAAAACTAGTCTAGTACGACTTGTGATGAACACTGTGGGAAGGGGAAAACTCTAAGCTTGCTAACACGACTCTGAAGTCGTCTTCCGAACCTAGTGAAAAGAAGAATAAGAGGAGGAGGAGGAGGAGAAAGGAAGAGAGAAAGGAAGGGAGGGAACGAGCGAGAAATCATGGGTGTGAGGGAGTACATGAATACTCTCGCCAATACAAAAAAAATGAACTGGAGGCGCGCGCGAGGCTACTCATTCCAAACCCACTGCTCATAGCGTAGTCATTCCCACATTGTGTGCCTGTGTTTCAGTCTCTTGTCATATTCTCCGTCTGTCTTTGCAACACGCAGTATCTGGCCGTCTTCGCAAGTCACAGTATCTGCAAATCGTAGTCTCTGTGTCAGTCTCATCTCTGTCTGTCACGGGTACCCGGGCACCTACTTCTGCCATCCTCACATTCGTCTGGTGCTTCTCACTCTCCTCCATGAATGGGGGGGGGGGGAGGGGGCTTTAAGCTGCTGCTGTCAAGTGGTTCAGATTACCTGTGCCAAGTGGTTTAGATATCCTGGCAAATGGTTCAGGTCTCCTGCTAAGTGGTTGAGATTTCGTGTCAAGTGGTTAGCATTAAGCTGTGGTTTACCAATAAGCATCGTCGGCGATGAGCCTCAATACGACGACGGTGTTTATAATGATGTTTAATGAGTGTTTACACTCATACAATAACCTAAACACACCGCCGTCTGCAGGAAGGTTGTAATTCCTTGTTTCCTCACACACACTCCCTTCTGTTACACCCTTTCTCTCACTCTCCCTTTCCCTCCCCTTCATTCTTCCTTCGTCTTTCTCACTCTCCAATCCCCTTCCTTTCTTCCTTTCTCCCCTTCCTTCTCCCTTCTCTTTCACACTTTCCCTTTCTTATGTCTCTTTATTTTCTATTATTGTATTATTTTTTGTTCTTCCCTTTCTCCCTGCTGGTCATTACCAATATATTATCCACAATGATCATTAACAGACAGCGACTTGAACTCTGTCATTTTCTGCTCGAAGTCGGTTATTAAAAGTTGTCAGTTGAATAACAGAGAGTAGGCTCAGCTGGCGATTGGGGCGACGATATGCTACTTGAGCGTTCCTTTAGGGTTTTGCTGTTTGTTAGTATTTGTTTTGAGTG